GGTCAACCGCTGACCTGCCACATAGAGCCCCTATTTGCTGTGGGCTGGTCACCCCTTCTAGGATGGTGAGGTAGAACATTCTTCTGGCTATCAGCCTCTCGAGACCTTTCCAAAGACAAGATAGTAGGGCTATTGGCCGCCAGGATCCGGCTTTAGAAAAGTCTGTTTTCCCTGCCTTCTGGATCATAGCGACCTCCGCTCTGCGGAAAGGCTGGTGGAAGTAGCCCGTCTGTATGCAAGCTTGGAACAGTTGTCTGAAAGAATCAGATATAAGGTCCTAGCAAGCCCGCAGTAGCTATGTTTAGCAACGTTGTAACTTTGTTTCTGGGCTACCCTCTGACTCCTGCTCAAGAGAGGTAAGATAGCGCGGTTAGTCTGCTTAGTTTGGGGAGGACCCTCGGCATCCTCGGGCTCATCCTCACTCATGCTGCTACTATCGGTGTCCGTGTCCCCGAGGCACACGATTGAGCTCTCGGAAGGTGTCCTTTTGCGTGGCCGCTTGGAGCCGGGCGGTTGGTCCTGGTCAGAGGGAGGGAGGTCCCCAGGCTGTTGGGTGCTGTTCCGAGAGGCGTTTAGACTGACCTCATAGAGGGCGTCATAGGCCTTCTGTCCAACTTTGCGGATCCGAGCCCGCTCCTTCCGGTCTGGGAGGGCAGGGTTGCCGTTCATCGTCATAAATGGGCCGCAACAGTTCGCACACTTAGGTCTAGCTGTACAGGGCCCAGTCTCGTGCGAGTCTGAAGGTCTGCTGCAGTTGTTGCAGAGCGGCTGTCAGTTGCAGTAGCTGTTTGAATGGTAGCCCTGGCAGCCGGGGTCGTGTCTGGTAAGCGTCTTCCTCTTCCGAATGAGTTGGGACCTGCTACTTTGGTTAAATAGTCTGAAGGGCTGTACCCCTGTCAGGAATGAGATCACCCAAGAGATTTCGTTTGTGATGGGGTCCGGCCCAAGGCGGGATTGCCGAGCCCGGGTGGGCTTCTGTCTTGTCTGGGCAAAGACCTCGTCCTCGATTAAGGTGGCTGGGTCCAGGGCGTCCCCGTCAACGCTCCACAGTTTGGCTGGGCAGCGCGGGACGACGTAGGTAAACCACTTTATAGGAGTCTCTGTTTTGTAAGCCCCTAAGCAGCCCGCTAGTTTTGCTTGTCTGCCAGGAGGCCTTGCTGGATCTGCTTGTTTGATGGCCGTAGTGAGTATCCGGTCGCAATGTAGTAGATGTGAGGGATATCTGCCAGTTGGAGGCCAAAGGTCCGGCAAATTGTCTGGCGTAGGGCAAAAAGAGCGTTCTTTCGGGCAGCCGATAGGCCCTCCTCCGAGATGCGGGCGAAGACCCGGAGGTCCTCTTTCGGCTGGGGTTGGAGCTGGGTTTGGGCCTGGGATTTTGTCTAGGGTCTGGCCTACGGGCGGGTCGGAGCCCGGTGGGGGTCCGGAGCTGTGGTTGGTGCCGAGGCCGTGACGGCAGCCCAGCTCCGGGTCAGTGCCGGAGCATGTTCCTTGTTAATAAGCTTCTTTAGGGCTTGGATCACATAGGCCGTAGCCTCTTTCGCGATCTGCTTCCTGGGGCCCTCAAAGCTGGTGACGACATTATCGACAGACTGCGCGATGGTTGAGAAGACGTCCTTGCGGGCCTCATATTGCCTAGCCTCCTCGTCCAGGGCGGACAAGACAGAGCCAGTAAAGGTCCTACCAGTGGCTGGAGTTGAGATCGGAGGCCCCTTTGCCGTTGGGGGAGCTGGGTTGAAGGCGTTAGGCTGGCTTCCCGCGAGGCTGGGCCGGTGTGGCTAAGTCTCGGTATTGCGGCGGCGTTTAGCCCTTGATGGAGAGGTTGGCTCTGGAGGTGGCCCAGAGCCCCGATCGGGGCCGGCCGGTGAGGCCGGCAGCGGTCCGATGCCCGCCGGAGGCTGTGAGGCCATCGCGGAAGGGCTCCGGAGCAGAGAAGTAAAACATTTTCGGCTGTTAAGGATTCTAGTGGTTCATCACCTGATTCACTAACAGCAGATGCCAAAAAGAATTAGGCGAGAGGGAAGTTGTCCTGAGTCCTAGGAGGAGGAGAGTGGCTCATAGACTGGAAGCTCATATGGTCCCATACTATCACTTTGAAACAGCTGTTAAGGGGGCCTTCCCAGAGATACAATCGCTTCTTCAACTGTGCAAATTGCGACGATGGGTCACATGCCAGGTGAATGCCACTTTCGAGCCAAGGAACGAGAATGGATTCAAAACTATCAAGTGACATGTAGATCGATACATTGCTCTCGTCAGTTTGTGGACCACTAAGAAGATGTTGGAATCACAGGGGATTCGATATACCGTATACGGTAACGTGGGTGACGAAGGGGATAATACTGTTGTTGTTATTATCCTTATTCTGCGTGAAGAGGGGAGGAAGCTATCTAGGGGCTAGCAGCTGAGGCGAGGTTAATGAGCCAAGGTCCTCCCTTTCGGCCGTAGCTACCCCGGGCCCGAACTCACCCGATCGGCCGAACCATGCTGGATAGCTGGCATCCAGTAATATCCTATTCCGACAAAACCATTTTTCGCACTGCCGGCGATCAAGGATCACGGATGCACTGTGTCTGCTTGTGTGGCTTAACTCGTGTGAGGAGCAAACGATATCGTGCATGAAACCACAGATACCGGTATTTCAGCATCCTGTGTGCTAGGCCGTTCTTCCACCCAGAGTTGCTGCCTCAACTTCTGTAATGCATTAGAACAGTAGACAGAGACATTCCTGTCATGTACAGTCAAGTCAGCTAGCGTGTTTGTCTCGAATAAAATAGGCGCGTTTTACAGCTATCTTACGACTTTAGCGTGTGGTAGCCTGTAGGGTGAGCCGAAGGAACAGGGGGTCCGGTGGGTGGCGTTGCTGAATGGGTGTCCGTCCGTCCGTGTGGGAGCAACAGCTGGTGTTGTGTTGATGGCTTTTATCCTAGCAATCAAGTGCAGCCACCATGCATATGTTTCTCAATGGAGCCCGTTGGATGTAAGCGCTCTTGTTGGAGGTGACTGATGTGATTTCTTTTCCTTGAAGCCGCCGGGTCTCCAATGGTGTCCCGTTGACTGGCCATGTTACCATGACCAACTGTCATGGGCTCCTTTCGCCGATCAATTGAGTGATTGGTAGGTCCGCATGGGGCGCTTCTCCGCGTCATCATGACAGGAAGTCCGGACAGACTAACTCTTGGTCAGCTGTAGGAGCAGAAGCAGGCGTGCTGATGGAGACCAAAGCCACCGGCAGGACCTCTTGAATACTGGGCAATCTTACGCTGGAGCGAAACTAACGGACCAACGGAGAGCCGCAAAACAAGCATTGTGATCTGTTCGTAGGGGGTGACTCTGGGCCAATTAACGACCACCCAACTGGGAAAGATGCATTTCTTACTGTGCGAGTACCACAACCTACGCCGGCAAATGACAAGGATGGACACGGTAACAGCCTGCTTCAACAGACTGGCAATAATGACTGACTGCGTTATTATGTGTCGAATACAGGCAGGCTGAGCGGTGAGGCCTGATGCAAGGTTGATGTTGGAGTCCTGAAGAGGAAATTTTGACTGCGCCTCGCAGATCTGGTTAGTTACATTGAGGAAACTAGAAGCTGCCTGTGATGCAGCCTTCTACCAGCCCCAGCAGACGCATCCAAACCCCTCCTGGGACTGGCACCACCTGTGACTCCTTCCTTTTGCTGGGCGACTGGATACTGGGAACCAACTGAACGACCAAAGATCCATGTGACTTGATCGATCATTGGACACTGTCAGCTCTACCAGGAAATGATCCCGAGCCAAGACGGCACTAAGTAGTGATGGCAACACCGTTTGCTGATCCGCGTAATGCACATGCTCTGTTGGGCTAGTGGTAAGAGCCCGGGGATGGCGGTCCATGGTCGCCTAAATGTGATATGTCAGGAGCCAGCACCATCGGTGAGTTGATGCGGGTGGTTTTCGTACACTAATCACAAGCATACAGGCATCCATGTGGTGTTGCCGAATCATGTGGCATTGCTTCGCCCTGTTGACAGCAGTGTGAGGCTATGATTGGTAAGTTTCCCGAACAGGTATTGGGGGCTTTCACCATTAGGCAGCTTGTGCTGACCACCCCGAAAAGTGCTTCCAACCAATTAACCCACTCGCCGATACGCTCAACTGCGAATGTAAGACTTGCCGTATTTTCCACCATCTTGCTGATACAAGTGATAGAGTGCGGATACCTTCAAGTATAAAACCTTTCCGCATATTGAGCTGGTGAACCAATTGCTCACTGCCCCATCCGCCACCATACGCATTTGAATCATTTCATAAAGGTCCTTTCCGTTCTACGCAGCCTTTGATCCCAAAAAGAACGCTACAAGTCTACAAGTGTGTCTTCCCATCAGCAATACAAATCCTCAACTTACATGGCTCGCAGTGGCATCCGAGACCCCTGAGCAACTTGTTAACCACAATAAATGTGGCAAATGCGGGAAAAACTTTACTGGCTCTAGCGATAATTGTGAGTGCGCAAAATGAACGCAATTGTCATTTCTGGCCCAACTATCGGGGCCCTTGAGCTGCACCAAAATGCGCTGGAGGAATACGGAGGGGCACCGGTGTCAGACAATTATCACAGTTGATGGCGTAGGCTGTGTGGATCTGATGGAGATAACGCATACTTTATTATGAGGATGAAATAGGAAATACAATGGTTCCATACATACATTGATTGACAAGGCGCAACAGTCTTTTTGACAAATTAAACAATTGTCCACATCCGGCACCTATGAGAAAGCCTGCCTGCGGTGGAGGTAATATCCCCCGTTCTTGGAATTCAAAGTGACAGGCAATTAGGGATCAGAGAGGTAGCTTTCTCACTCGCTGGAGTTGCATTTATCCACTTCAGGCGACCAAGGGAGTACGCCTCGATAAAACAATAACTGGAGAATCGGGCTAGCTGGGACCATCGATTATTTGATGGAGCCCGGCCCTCCACATTCGTTTATCCAAAGCCAACCACCTTCCATTCACAGTATGTCGGTTGAAAAGAGGGATCTCGTTCCAGATGAGGAAATTCTCCGCGCAATCTTCTCGGGCGTTGATATTAAGCCCACCGACTGTAAAATCATTTCCACCACATTCGAGTCATGCACGTTTAGCATCCACCCCAAGACCGCCGCTCTCCCTGATCATCCTAAGGACCTTCTTGTCCGCCTGGAAGTGTCGGGACGTCACTTAGACCAGGTAGTAGCTCTCCAAAAGCTCGCGAATGGCAAACTACACGATCTCGTTCCATTAGTCGTATCCGATGGCACCACGGCAACCGCGGACGGAAGACAGGTCGAGTACGCCGTGTCGGAGTATTGCACAGGGACAGTTCCGCTTGAGGAGATATGGAATACCCTTGACCAAAGCAATCAGATGCGGTTGATCGATTTGGTCGTATGTGCAATGGAGAAGCTTCACGAAATAGACAGCAGCAACATCCAACGAGTTGGCGCGCAGTCCGATAACGCCTCAGTCGGTGGCCCAAAGACTGGCTATTCCTCAAATATCGAGCAGTTCTTGGACGGTATCCTCCCACCGAGCGATCCAAAACCACGCAACTGGAAATTTCAGAAGGTTGATGATGGCATTTTACTGGTGTCGGATTTTCAAGATGTCGGCCAGGTTCAGTTGACACGCGCAGAACTTGATGAACTCAAAGATAATATCGTCTTCTGCCACAACGACCTCGAGCCCCGCAACATTCTTGTCAGAAGGTCGACTGAGAGCTATGATCTGGCTGCTATTGTTGACTGGGAAATGGCGGGCTTCTACCCTTTCGCCTATGAATACGGATTCAAGGACAATGTCCTCGGTTCCTCCAACCTTTCGTTCAGCTGGTATTCCCTATTCAAGAAGCAAGCATCTCGCCTGTTGCCTCAAAATGGGTGCCATGTAAGGTTTATAAAAGCGCTCAGGGTTATCAGTGAGTCGAGAAGGAAAGGTATGACACGGAACGTCGGTGTCCGATTTCAGAAGAAATGGGTAGAGGATCAAAACCTAGAGATATCTCCGGACATTCTCCGAGGCTGGGTTCGCAAGGCCGGTACGAAAGATCCTGGGAACTTCAGCAAGGAAGACAAGGATAATCTTGAGCTGGAGGTCATGAGGGAGCTTGGATTGGAATGAAACCGCCAGGGTTTACTGGATAGCGTGCCGCATTTGCTACGGTGGTTCTCAATCAACAAACCCCCCCCCCTGTACAATCCAAGTCCTAAAATAAACTCCCAAAGAATGTCCCGAGTCTCTTAAATACTTAAGAGTTTAGTGTTCGACTTGAGAAACAAAATTAATGGCAAACCGCTAACCCAGAAGGCTTCTTTTTGTGGTCTTGTGATACATATTGTCCAGGTAAAACTGTGATGTCGGTCCGTGGTTGTGCCTCGCGGCCAATAGCGGACTGTCCCACCTCCAAGAGAGCTTCCCGTTTTACCGCCGACGGACAATGTTTGCTTGTCTAGGCGTTCGCTCTCGGTCATATCGCCTGCAAGTCGCCCCGCTGATTCTTGTTGCGACCAACGCGTGCCATTGCTAGATCTCTTATGTATCAATGGACTATCGGTGTCTCGTCGCCGGTCTCACTACTCTTCGCCTTTTCTTTTCACAACGTCGAACTTTTCATACAGTTGTGCTATACTATATTTTCGCGAGAAGACACAAGCTATGATCCTCACTACAGTACACACACACACATATACACACACACATATACACACACACATATACACACACACATATACACACACACAATTTATTACGCCCGGCGGCGGAGCCGAAAGGGCCACTAAAGCTGACTGCATGTACATTGCTGAGCTTACGCCTTTGTCTCCTTAAAGCACATAAGTGATGTCTTCATTTCCTGCTTGCGCCTCCATGTCTGCCGTCTCGCTTCGGATTTCCGTGGTTTAGTTGTATTGTTAGCATGCCAGCTTGAAGCCTATTCTTCAAGTGTTCAGCGTCCTATCTACGGCGGCTGAAGCGGTGCCTGCTGTCTTTGGCACGGGTTGTTATGTAGTTAGATTTATGTCGAGTTTGATGTGTTAGGGGGCTGATCTCTATTTCCGCCTCCCATCACCTTGCGTCCAGCCGGCCTGTTGCCAGCGCAAATCATATCGTCGCTCGAACCGCTTGCATGTTTGGCGTCCACTTATCGTCGTCCGATGAGCTCTTGCCTTCAAGGTAGAATGATATGTTGCTTCTCTGTGTTCCTGTGCACTGTAGCATCTCTGCCCGATGTGTCGTCCCTTTTGTGCAGTGGAAAAGGAAATGTTCAACCGTCTCCGCCACCTGACCGCAATCACAGATCTTTGAAAGCGCTACGTCGATCCGATGTAGATAGCCGTTCAGTCTTGCCATTCCTGTTCTAAGCTGCGCAAGTGTGGTCGCTTCTCTCCACGTCAGCTTGTCGTAGAGTTGGCGGGTATGCTTCCCTAGTAGTGCCCTGTCGACCCTTTTGGAGAATCTCCCGACCTTTTCCGGCAGCCCTCGTTCTGGCAGACATTTTGACCGTGCTACGTTGAGCGTCGTTGACTTCATCGTTGGGAATTGGGCCTGCGGGGTGGCCCCCTCTTCGGTCGCTTTTCGCGCTAGCGCCTTTGCTTGCTTGAGCAGTTGGTCTTCCTCGCCTGTGGGCGTCCACTGAACTGTCAGAGTGTTGTGGTCTCGTCGAAGCTCCTCTACCGAGTCGTAGATGCACCGTATAAACTCTTGTCCGGACTGTTGGTGCGGCCGTTTAAGCGTAAGGACCGCCGCTTTGTTACTTGTTACCACCGTAACTCTCTCGCCTGTGACGCCTTTTCTATGGTCTTTTCAACGGATTCTACTACAGTCCATTGCTGTCAAGATTTCCGAAGGGTGTTTAGAAGTTCTATTTTGAATATGATAGCTCTTTTATTGTAATAATTAGGGGGTATATTATGAAATAAGGGTAGAAACTATATTTTATAAAGGACCCGTTATATACTATATTATCTGTATTATATACCTGTTATATGTAGACCTTTCTTTTTTATCTATTTCTATTTTAATAGGTTAAGCGACTTTACTCCACTCCGTATGCCCATTGCTGCGTGCTATAAGTCATGACACACAGCTATATTGAATGCGCAAAATTCGAAAAGCATAATCCATAATATGAAGCTACGATTGCTGTTTTTCACCGTTTTCCCAGCCAATACAGCCAGCGAGAGCACAGGATCTTCCCAAAACTGCAGGCTCACCAGATGTTACGGCTAGAAGAGCGTGATCTAGGCGCCCAAACAGCGCAATTTCCAAAACCGCGACTTGTGATTATACGCTGGCCATCACCGCAGAATCATAAATCTGGCGAAAGATCCGGGGAAAACAAAGATTCGTCTGCAAGCAATAGGCTAGTACATAGCCATGGCAACTCCTAAGGAACCCATGGGATAATGCTGCGACCCCATGCCGTTGAAATGCTGGCAAATTAGACTGTAACCAGGACTGGAAAGTCAATTTAAAGGGTTGATGCAACTTGGTCAAGGTGGACGGATAAGACTTCAGGAAATAGGGGAGCATTGTGCGGAATTGATATTCAGAGCTTCATCGAAACTCACCTAGACATATTGCTTCAAGGGCAAGGTCCGATTGGCCAGTCGATGTTACTGACCCTACGATTAGGTGAACCACGAAAAGATACACCGAATCATTTATCTGTCTGTTCTACTAAGACAGATGGTTTCAGCATCCAGGAAGGATCAAGATTCAGTCACATCCACAATTATTGGCGCATACAGGTCAGCAAAACGGGGGGTTACAACTTCAGAAGCTCGCTTTGCTGCTACGACGGCTTCTACTAGGACGAATGAAGACGGAATTGCGACAAGTTCCATGCTGAACTGAAGTTAAGGGGCTGCGATCAGGTCACTTACAACAATATCGCTCTCAAAGAATATAATCGTGAAGCAGACACGGCACCACAGAGACGTGAAGAACTTTGACTTAAATATCAAGTTCCAGCTGCGCTTGCAAGACTACGTTGATCAGATACAATCATGGCCGGTTCACAGAACAAGTCGCAGGTCCAGAAGCCTTGCAATACTACCTCAGACACGTCCACTCTCTGGCCGAGTAATAGTTCCATTCTTGAGCCAAGAGACGGTGAAAGATCAGAAATGAAGCTGGCGGCAACGGTAATTTGCTGAGAACAACTCTTACCCAGTGTTGAGCGGTGAATGAAGGGACAGGCTCGGAGGATACTATAGGCGAAGACATCAAGGAAAGCGAATCACACAAGCACCTAGATCACCCGGCACCATCTCAACGATAACCTCTTTGCTGAACTCTATCTAAGCTGATTGATCGTTGGAATCGATTTATGACTTCAGTCCTGACGTCTTAGACCCTCAGCTGGAACTGGAGCTGCGAAGTTCCCATCTGGACCACTCTAGCAACTTCAGTACATGCCTGAGAAGCAATATCCGCATCGAATAATTGCTTCTGGACCCTCAGGGTAACAAAAAGCATGAAAAAGCTCAACTACTCGCAAGAAGCGCCCGCTTCAAGTTTGCGGGGAGAGCTCTGCAATTAAACCTACATTCGTTGATAGTTTTCTTACCTGCGAAAGCTGTCATGGTGCTGAGCCCTCACACATCTGTTAGTTGGGCTTATGGGGCTGCGGTGATGCTGGGCCCCGACAAATGGCGGTGACACCAGGCGGATGAAAGAGTCTCCAGCGCGTTCCGGCGTACATGTGTCAGGGTGGCGTGGAGAGCCGTCCGATTCGTTAGCTGCGGGCTACCCTGGGCGTCACGTCAAGATAGCGTATAGCCCCTGAGCGCCCACGCAGTAGGTCTGTGCCCGTATCTCAGTCCCCGCAGAATCGAGCACTTGGTTCGCCTGACTAGTGTACTCCGTAAGTTCCTTGTTCATACAAGCGCGTACAAGGGCAGGGAACGCGCCAACAGCTTCAGCAGGTTCCCGAGGTTGCGTCGATCGATTGGAGACATACGAGACTTTTCCAGCCCCGCAAGGTGGCAGTCCATGACCAGACTGCGAACGAGGTCTTCATCTGCCCGCTTGGAGACCAGTCTCGGCGACGCGCAAGATCAGTAAAGACGACACAGCGAACCTCGGATGACGGGGGTTTTGCCGCCACTGTTGACAGAGGGCGGGGGCTGTTGAGTGCAGTTGGCAGACTAGCGCACTCGTAGCCGGTCAACCCCTCATTGACGCAGCGGTGGGATGCTTGCCCCCGGAAGCCCCCAAGGGCAGTTTCCAATTCCACATCTGCTCTCTTTGCCAATACTTGTTACTGTTGCGGTTGCTCGTGGGGTTGATAGCATTACACAGAATCGCGGATGGCGGAGACGCCAGACTCATCGTGCGTTGAGGATGTGAATCAGAACTAGGTGGCTTCGACACCGCCCTCAGGTGGGCTTTGAATGAACGCTGCATCCCTGGATCCATGCAAGGAATTGCAGCTCTACCCCACGCCCATCCCGACGCCGACTGGCCTTGCTCTGGACTTTGGCCTGCCAGCCGGTGGTCCATTAGAAGCTCAGTAGCTGACTTTAGTAGCACTCGTAAACCTGCCAATGATGAAAGCAGCCACAGTTGAAATGTTTCTGCGAGTGTGGATCCTTTCGCCATACCGCGTGCTCCTCTTACTTCCCCAAAGCGATACCAAGCATGCGACGATCAGATGCAAGATTGGTACGAATTCGCATCCTGTGGCTTATCATTCTGCATGAGGTCGCGCAAGCATCAACAGCTACGGCGCTGGGCCAATGGCTCTCGACTATAACATTTACCAATTATGCATTGAAGGGTTCCCTACCACGCCTACCTGGGGAATCGCCAATGCGCGTCTGCCCAGAAACCAATCTTTCAACCCGTGTCTTAAACCATAAGCCAACAAATGATTGCCACGAAACGACAAGCTGACTTGTCAACAATGTTCGGTGTACGTGGATTGGCGGGAAAGTAAGGCGGGTTAAGCTTCTTACGGTACAGCAATGCCAACAATGACCCAGCTGATCGGTGTGGTGGCCTCATGCTTGTTCAAGCAAAAGACAAAGGCATCTCGTCAAAGATGGAAGTCAAGTATTACAGCAGTATATGGCTCGCCGTGGGATCTGTCACGAAGTAAAAGAACGCTGTCATTTTCAACGCGGTTGATAGGAATAGACGCGCGGGTTAAGTGGGTGAGCGCGACAGCCTGCTTGCCTGGATATGGTGATCCACTATTACGGTTTATTACACAATTGGTGGCGGCGTTCCCCACAGCCCCGCGCCTGTCTCCCCGCACTCATCGGTTCTTGCATATTTGGTAGACCCTGTTAGATTGATGCTTGTGTCCGGATATAAGGCAGCTGAATTGGTTACCCGCATAGCTGTAATATGCAAGAACCGGCGAGAGCGGGTCGGACACTGCGGACAATGTGTCGCAACACGGCGCTGGCCCCGGAGATGCGGATGCCGTCGCTAAGACGACTGGCTCAGCACGTCCGGCCCTACGTCGATAGCTAGCATCACAGAGCCTACAGCTCGTCTCTCGGGCAGAAGTGTCAGCCCTGAGACTCCAAAGCTTTGCCAGCAATGTGGGCCATGCGAATTGCTAGAGCTCGGAGCCAACATTGCGAACCCTGTCACTTCTTTGGTTGCCTCCGGGCCGTCAGGAGTCAATACGCAACCCCATTGCCTATCGGTGATCTTGATGTCCACATGTCTAGTTAAAGGAGGACCACCGAATACTCCGCCGTTCCTTCCAACAATTGGGAGAACCCTACACTACAGGAATCTCATTCAAGCTGCGAGCTCATTCGATGCGCTTCCTTATCATGATCCCTGGATGCATGTGCAATAGCATCATGCTTCTGGCATTGTTGTCCCATTGAGAGCGGGCTGCCTCTCAGCCTACGTCTTCTACATAGTCATCCAGACAGGTTCGTCCGAAAGTGGTCTCGAGGCGCTACAGGGCGAGCGCACGATGATCAGCTTCGAGCCATACTTGATACTGTCGTTCAAAGACTTGTCGCCCCAGCCCCCGCACTTCGATGCATTAGCAGCTCAAGAGGTGAGAGTCCCCGGAGTGTTCGTGCATTGGACTTCATGACGCTGGTTGGGTCTAGGATGATGTTCCTCTGCGAAGATCTCGCAAGCTCCAGTTTGGAGCCGATTAGGCGTTTCATTACGGAGTTGGTTTGCTTTTCGCAACGCGGGGGCTGGGTCATATTTCTTTGGAGAATCTACCACAGTGTGGAGCTTTTGTCCTGAAAGCGGGGTAACGTTTACATTCGCGAACCTGGTTTGCCTATGGAGAAGCTTCTGCTGAAGCTAGGAAGGTGTGAATGTTCAAGCTTGCTTTGGCCAATGACCAGACTGCCGGGACAACTCATGTCGGCCTTCGGACTTCGTCTGTTTCGAGTCTCCGCTTGTTGCTCGTGCCTTCAGCCAAAGTCCTCTAGTGTAGATACGACGCAGATGCACCCAAGACCACCATCAGTAAGACCGAAGCCGCTGAGTCGATCAACCTCAATGTCCAGTCCCGGAGCAATATTTGCGCCTCTATAGAATTTCGGCCTTCGTCCTGAAAGACTGACTCATGATGATAGTTGGGCCTGACTATTGGGGATCCAGGAACGGTGCAACACTGAGCAACATGGCACCGCATGCAGATAGATTTAAGGCCTCAGGGAGCGTGAATAATAATATGATGCGTATGTTTCTTACTATCGACGACGTCCCAGAAGGATACGTTAAGGTATCTCTATCAATGCTTCATAGTGCTACGATGGTGCAATGAGGTGTGCTTCTGGCACGATATCGTCCTTCTAGTCTACGTGCCTCACTTTTTGCGTCGACACATATGTGCGTATTTATCGATGCACTTTCCGAATATGTCAAAGTGAGCACCGCTCGCTATAGCTGTCGTCCCAAGGCTTCAAGCATCCGAGGCCAATCAGAATGGAGGCAGTCATGTCGTCAACCGTCTCAACAGAAGCAGCTAAGAGTGTCTCGGCAGTGCACCGGAAAAGTGACATTGAATAAACGTGTCGCGACATTACTTGTGACAGTTCTCGGTGTATTTCTATGTCTGTGACAAACCACTCACTACTATGGAAAGACTGCCCATTTCGTAGGGTACATATGTATGAGACTCTGCAGCGGCCTCTTTAAGAGAAAACATATTGCTACGAACACCTACAGCTACTTTGGACTCGACTCGTAAGCAGCCGTCAAGTCGAATAGTATCGTTGCCATCCAGCATTTCATGATACGCTTGCACGACAAAGCAGAAACTTTATGTCCGCTCCAGGGTTGGTTGTGTTCCTCCTAATCGAAACCCAGGGCTGCCGGCAAGTGTGTCGAATTTGCCTTCATTGACTAATACCGCTCGCCTTCATCAATTACTTGGCGCTTCACGTCTACTGTTTCTTCCGTATTAGACTCCAGATTCTCACGACCGCCTCGAGATCATCCGGAGCTATCATCCCGCCTGCGTGCGGCTGTCCCAAGAAGTCCAGCAAGCTGTCAGCAGCGACGGCGGCGTCGCTTGGCGACACACGGCTCTGCGTTGTGTCTTCAAACCTCCCTAGCCCGATGTTGTCGTCGTTGTACGGTGCCTCTCGTGCCTGTTCCGAAAGATGCTGGCCCCATCCCCATCTGGGCGCTTCATCGGCCTCAATGACTTCAGTGTACCCGCTCCCCTCATTGCCATCTCTGCGAGGTCTGCGTTTTTTAAAGGGCTTCCTCGTCGGAGTTTCCATGGGCAGTGCCAGAAATGTCGAGTTTTGATAGCTACGTGGATTTGATTCATCGGCCCATAGGGAGTTTGACGGCCCCGTGGAGCCGTCCTGCGACGCCCGCGCGCTTGACCCAGTAGAGTGGTATTGACCATCCTGGTGAGGTTGGGTGGCTATTCCGTCACCTTCGCCTGTGCCTGAATGAAAGAGTAACGATGGGTCGACGACTCGCTCGTCGAATTGGAGAGGGTCTGTGTAGTCAGATAAGTTGATATCGCCAGCCAAATCGAGGCTCCCCGTCTCAAAGGCGTCCAATACTATCCTGTCGGGAGAGAAGCTTCCAGGTTGAGTGCTGCCATGCTGACTGGGGAAGCTCTGCGGCTGAGATGGAAAAGGGTAGGGGTACTGTGAAGGGAGAACTGAATCTGGTGCCCAATTTGCAGGTGATCTGATTTCAGAGAATGGTACTAGCGATCGGTCGTCCATTGTGCGTGAGCGTCTCTTCTGGTCTCTGAGTCACACGAGTTGATTGCGACCACTTCCATGGCGACCAAGTTATATGTGCAACGCGCAACTGCAACAAATACATCCACCTGCGCCGCTCGAGAACCCGGACTTGCTGGAACACCGACTGTTTCTTGATTGCTACTGCTTTTCCGTAATAGGCTTCTGTGTTGGAACTTAGTGCGGGATGGCTTGGGCAATACCATTGTCGTTGGTTATGTCGTGGTGGCAAGGATAATGGAATCATGAACCGTTGCGTCGGGAATCGCTGACTAGGCGGGCGAGAAAGTAGGCGGCGGGCGACTCGTGCTCCTGCTGATGAAGCCGAGCAAGAAGGCGATTGTCGAAATCGAGGCGCCTTGAGCTGAGCGATTCCGATGTCGCCTATTAAGGTGATGGTATCCGCAATCAGTTTCGTTGGATTTTGGCGAAGGGAGACTGCTCTGTTAAGATGTCTCGCAGCTATTCTTGCAGCCGTCCACGGCCTCGACTTGCCTCTCACCTGACTTCCTTTGTCTGCACGGCGTGCATTGCAGAGATGCTTCTTCGGAACCAACTAAAGCATGCAGGTGGGCATCGAAGGCCTATGCCGCAATGCTGGACCAATGCTAAACCGTTGCCACACCTGAACGAAGCGAAGGCACGGTTTGGATGACCGGTTTGAGTGAACGATCGCCAGGGGCTTCTACATCCAGAACGAACGGCGGGGACGCGGTTGTGTTGTGTTGTCGCTTGGCGCTCGGCCATAACAAGAAGACGGATAACAGAAGGCTCGCACTGGAAACTCCGCGCACTATGGACACTGGAGCTATTTTGATCAAACGCCAGGACCATTGCGCGTGCTTCTGATCTGCCAATGCCAGCGACGAAAACAGGAGACTGGTCGTTGACATCCCAGCTCCAACAGCTCGGTGTCGACAGACTGAAGTTTGCGAGGAGACGAGGAACCGCGGCAATCGAGCTATCGAAAGGAAACCCCACCCGCCCCGGCGAGGCGCACGTTCCAGCGCTCAGTGCAGTTGACTGCCGAATCGCGATCTCGACCACTGTCGGTACGCCCGCATGTCCGGATTCAGGTCGCTCAGCTACTAAGCAAGCAGCTGTTGGCAAACATCATGAACGTAGAGCAATGCGGTCATTGTCGCTGGAAGATGACTGGGCAAGGCTCCTGAGTGCTATTGACACGGAACTTGATTGCGGTGCAAGGCAGAAAGGTGAAGCGAGGAGACGTATGATAGGCTATGTTGTTGCGTCTGACCCTCGTTGCGATCGTGTTGGAGCGGTCGTGTTGGAGCAAAGGAAACGATATCGGAATAGCTCTGGCCCGAACATTAGCGCCCGGCGGCCGCTTGCAGCCAAGGTACGCGGGATATCCTCTCCATCTTTATTTTACCCATGGCTTGGACATCTATAAGCTGTTTCTGCTGCGCATCCTCAACCACAGAACGCCCCATGCCATCCCATGCGGAACGACAGTAACAGCATGTTTCGTCTACTGTCTCTCTGTTCCTCATCGTGTTCTGGCGCAGTTCACCTAGCCACTGCTGGGCTCATTTTTAGGGCATGCCCGGGAGCTGCCGTCCGGCCAGCCTGGTGCAATGCGACGGTCATCCACAACGTCATCGCCGCCGTCAGTGATTGAATCAACAGCACTCTTCCACTCCCGATACTGTGAAAGCTGCAAAAACTGGTTTGACGACTAAAGCAGACGAATCGCGGAGACGAATCGCAGGTAGACTAGGCGCGAACGCGTTGCACCATCGCCATTTCATGAAACCGGCTCGGCTGTAAGGGCAGACATAACCAACCTTGCTAACGTTGAGATGCAACGAGACACAAAGCAGAAGAGCAGCGAGTGCGCTTTCTTTGTGAAACTATTGGCCACTCCGAACATTTGCCGCGCAAACACCGGCTTCTCTTTGCACCATCCGGCGTTTTCTCTGTTCGTCAAAGGTCTTTTGTGATACGCTTCCTGGTTTCCCACCTCTTTCTCCTTGCTCTTGCCTCGAACATCCCTCTTGTCTGCCCTTGGCGGCTGTTCCGCTTGCACACTCTCGTCCTGCACCCCCTCCGGCCTTTCCGTCGCCTAAGATGTCTCACCGGAAACGCTCCCTCGGCTAGCGAATGGAATTCGGAATGCTTCTGCGTTAACAGAGTAAATCTCATCATTAGAGCGGACTTCTTCGACGACCGCGAGGCGCCGAAACGCCGCTTGAAGCCCCCCATCCTTTTGATTGTTTCCCAGTTGTCTCCTCGAAAGGGCCTCTGCGCCAATGATCGCCAATCTCGAATGGCGATGACTGCCAGGCAGAAGTGTATGGCTGATACGAACGAACGGATGAATCTGGCCCCTGGTTGGGGTACGATGTGCCTTGATACACTGGAATGAGCGCTTGCCGATACATCAATACGTCGGCCATGGTCTCTGGACCCCTTTTCAGGCCTCCAGTCGAGCCAACGGTTACGACAACCTCCACGACGACCAGGTTATATGCGTGTCGCATAACCGTCACAAACATGTACAAATGCACCGCTCGAAAGCCTAGACTTGGTGAAATACCTACTCTTCACTGATCGCTACTATTTTCCCATTACACGCTTCCGTGTTGGAACTTTGTTCGCCATGGCATGGTCAACACTCTGTTCGTTAGTTATATCGTGCAGTGTGGTGCCGAGACGAACCACTGCGTCCGACGCCGGGAATTGGTGGTCAGGGGGACGATAAAGCAGGCGTTGGGCGAGTCGTGCTTCCGTTGGCCTAGATGGGCCAAACGATGAGTGCCGAAACCAAGACGTGCTGCGAGGGGATTGCGGCCGAGGGGGATGTCAACCCTGAAGCAACTGCCAGGACAGAACCCCTTGCAACTTGTTTTTCGCACCCATACACGTCGTCGACTTTGCCTCCATATGATCGTGATCATCTACGCGGCGCGAAGCACATGTGCTTCCCGAACCATCAGAAGCCCGTGTCCCGAGGACCAGGCATCGAAGACCTGCATCGCAGCCCCAAACCACTGTAACACCGATATTTAATCGAGATGGCTGGTATGGGCGCACAATCGCCAGGGGTTTCCGGGTACGGTCATCTTCTGCAATCGCTTGGTCATCGGCAGTATCGGGCACAGTCTCTGCCCTTGGCGTTGCCAGTGATGTGAGCAGTAGGTCTGCCGCTGATGCCGAGTTCCAACGGCTCCATGCCAACAGACTCAAGTAACTGCGAAGCGTGGCGACGGATATCTATCAGCGAGGAGACGAGGGATAGCACCCTCGTCTGCCACACAGCACGTACTGTCCGGTGCAAATTGCCTCCGAGGACTGCGAGGATGACAACGGGACGGTCTGGTCAAGAATCGGGCGTAAACCCGGGTACGCCCGCACGTCCCTACTCCTCGAAATGCTGTAAGGGCAACCTTCCGTCGTCGTAATTCAACAACGTTCTGCCGATACTTGGTGATGTTGTGGTTTCCGTTTCGGCTTCACAATGGCGATGAAAGGACTCGAGGGCTTTGGGCCTTGTGTCAGGAAAAATCATGCTGTTGACAAATCAAGCGAAATTGCTTGCGGGGGCGGTGCTATTGCGGGTCGCCGTGAACTGATCGCCAGATGTCAGCATTGCATGCGCGGGTTATAGCTGGGGTTTATTCATGTCAGCTACCCCAACACGGTTTTAGAGGTGGTCTCTGCGTCCAGGCGGGGTGACGGTTTGCATGCCTCGCCGACAGACTCAAGAAAAAAAAGAAGTAAGAATGGGAATAATCGCCTCTGTTAACGTTCATGCAGATTGTCCGCGATAGGACTTCCCCACCTCCTATACAAGATAGGTTGGTTCATCGAGAGACTCGCCGAATTATGTCGCGAAGATAGTTTGAACGACAAGCGCATGCTGCGCGTCGGCTAATTGCCCTCTTATTCGGTTGAAGCGGCCTGTCCGGAGCAAAGAAGGCGGGTTCGGGATGTCTCTTACGACAACGTCGGGGAACGTGGCAGCCGGAATGCCACTGGGGAGAACGACGTCATACAAAAGTAGGAAGAAAAAAGGAACAGTGTATAGAAGCTGGTTCCAGCCATAGTCGTCTGGGCTCCTGTCAACCGTTACCGTTGGAAATGGCAGCAGAGGTCCTGCAACAGGCGCGCTTCAACACTCGAGTGCCAACCGACTGGCAAAGGGGCATTGCGCAAACCGGCGTTTCCTCGTCGAAGAGCGACAGATAACGTACTGCACAGCGTTAGCGAACCCTTTGCGGTCGAGCGATTATGGCTGTTACCAAATTTGACGTTTAGTATCATAGGTAGATAACTGCGTGCTGGTCCTGTTATCTTGGTCTCTGGCGCTTTGTTAGTGCTTCCTTAGCAACTATACAATATTTAGTTCCGGGAAAGAAAGTGCCTTACAACAACTTCAACAGCAGCGCTTCCGACTACACTTGGGCCCTTCCGTGAACGGCCTTATCGATCCATCGTCTCCGGCGCTGTTCCGCGGTTGCACGGGTCCGGCCCTGAACTGACACTCTTACTCGTTTTGATAGGCCATGCTCGCTTGGCCTTCCTGACAACGATGTTAAGGCGGGCGGTCGGGGCGGCTTCTCCAGTGTTCTCTGCGGAGTAAACCAAGCGGGATCGGCCACGGCAAGCTTAGTCAAGCTGTGAGTCCTTCGATGCGCTTTCTTGTCATGATTCCTCGACAAATGTGAAGGGTTTCTACAGAAGTAGCCAGACAGGCAGGTGGCGTCAGCTAGAAATACGGGTAATCAGAAGTGTCACTCTCAACTCGTAGCGGGCAGAACTTCTTTCGCAAACAAACCGAAGAACTAAGCAGTGGGGATTGGCTTTCCAGATGACCTCGTATCGACCCTCTGCGCACCTCTAACGGCGTTCAGCCATTGCCTCGCATTCCGCTCCACCCCACAAAAAACACGCCCTTGATGGCAGCACATTTAACCAATCCCCAAATCTAGATAACGAACTTAGAAAGTCATTTAAACAATACGATTCTCCATCCCCATTTCTATGCAGCCTCACAGCACTAGTACTTGTGAATGAAATGGAGTGAATCAGGCTCTCATTCAAAAGACCAGTTAATTACAACGACCAGCGATGCGCCGTCAACTCCGGCCATCAGACTAATTATTTCCCGTCTTTCTTTGCTTTGTGACGCGGCCTGACCTCCTGGGAGGTACGCTACTGACTTGGGGTTTCGTCTGCCTGGTCTTCGCACCACCGACAGTAGCGGCGCCAGCGCAGGATATGCTTATATCTTTCAAGATTTCCATCCCTCGGGTAGTGTTACCCTCCAATGACGCCACTCGCGTTTCCATATTCTTTACTGTTTCCAGCAAGAGTTCCACCTGCCCAGCCAACTTCGCCGTCATCTGGGTCATAGCTTTGGACTGTCGCTCAAGCCTGTCCAAAACTAATTTGGTCTCTGCTGGTGATCCCTGTTTTTCCCTAAGACTGCGCTGACTTTTCGGTCCTGCCATGCACGCTTGAAGTTGACGGATGACGTTTGGATCATTAATGGCATTTTGCAGAAGATGTACCCATTTTCCGATAATTTGGTTTGTCTGGTCGTCCATTAAGCATTTATGAAACTGGAGAAACTCCATCTGCTGCTTTCGATCATCATGCTTCTGCTGCTGCTGCTGTTGATATTGTTGCTGTTGTTGTGGCGGGATATGCGGGTGTCGTTGCTCGTTCTGTTGCCGGGGTTGCTGTGGTTGTGGATGATGATGCTGCGCCTTGTGCTGCTGTCCCATGCCGGGTTGTGGCACGCCTTGGTACCATGCTCTCTTGCCACTAGACGTGCGACTTGCCATAGTCACTTGCAATTTTGTGTTGGTGATTGAACAATCTGTTTCTGGGTTTCCTTGAAGCGATGAACGAGATGCTGTTGACTAGTTTTATATGTAGCTCCATTCCTCATGGTTGGGCCGTCTTTCTTTGTGATCATCCTCACTGTTATTGTTGCGTTGTATCATGTTATGTTATGTTATGTTATGTTATGTTATGTTCTATTAACCTCGGACCCAACGCCAGCCATTCATGGTTCATCAAGGGGTTGCAAAGAAGCCGCCAAATCAAAGCAGCAATGCGTGTGTCATGTATCTAGACTTCCTTCGAAACCAAAGCTTGGATATATGGTGTGAGGAAGAAATGTTCTGAGCAATGGACGCAACCCGGCGAATTGTTGTTCATCCTTGCCATGACGCTGAAAGCACGAAGCTTTGGAGTATGACCGCAAGGACGCAGGCCGTTGGCGGCATCTTAGACTATTGCAGTGTGGAACAAGCCGTCATGTGGGCGGGTTGCTGAACAGTTCGGTTAATCACAACAAACACAACGCTGACGGCAAAAGTAACCGTGAGTAAGACTGGCCGTTCAAGTGTGATATTTCACTCCTCACCAAATCACTAACGACACCCATAGAGGCAGACAACCGACGACGTCCATCAACAAGCATCGCGAATTATCAACTAAACCCCAAGACCGACCATGCCAAATCAGACTTCGAGGGTTCCCTATAGTAGAAGGCCGTGGTAGGAAGGCGCACCACTCAGCGCCGATGGTAAACCAATACAGGCCCAGCTAGAAAGCGCAAATAGCCAGCAGAGCGCGGCACATCACCTTCCGCAAATGCAGCAGCAGCACTAGGAATTCGAATAGCTTTGTTGTATGAAATAACAGACAAACAAGAAGGCATGAACGCTGTCTTGAGTTGACTAATTAGGCTTTTGCCTGCTACCACAAATGATAGCAAGGGAGGGGGATCCAAAGCGAAAGCCAACATCCCAGCTCAGTTGAAGGCAGCGGGTGTTGGCTTGCAAGAAGGGGCCTAAATCAAGTCGACATATCGACTAAGGTGAATATGGTAATGCTCGTATCATCCGGCCGGCCTTGAGCTCCGTACGTTGCCCGTCTTTCATCTGAACATTATTTGCAACGAAGGTTTGTTGGGCCGCATTTCCACGCTGGACGAAACGACCGCGGGTTTACGTACAATGTGTCCAACCTGCACTAAACATACGCTAAGTCCGGCGCCCCACCTTGTTTTCCGTCAACGCCGGTTTGTCGTCCGGCCTTGGGCCTTGCGTGGGGCATTCTTCGGTGCGAGCAACTGCTTTGTGTGATCCTTGCCGGCGCGGAAAAGGCTCCAGTTGGTACTAATGGCCAAATTGTCTTGTCACTGCCCCATAATTGCCCCTGTTGTATGGGCTGGATTGTCTACGCAGTGTGTAGAAGCAAGGCAGCAACGAAATAGCTTCAACGAGGCATGTTGAACCCACGACAAGACACACTCCCCAGTCGATGCAATGACCCTCCAGTGTATCCGTAGCAGAGTCGTGAATTGGCTGAACGAGCTTGCAGCCTGACTCGATCAACTGCTGCCTTAAGGTACTTACTTTTGCTGTCCGGGATCTGCTATCGCCCCATGTCCGACCTATCGCCCACCAACCGAAGGTCAGTAATGGGATCCCCGACGGTATGGAAGGTGCCTGATTTGGGCACAAGGCGCAGGCAATAGGCGCCGATGCAAGGATAAATGAGGTGATTAATCGGACCCCAGCCATGTGCCGCGATTCGCTTTCACGACGGCACTAAATGGGATCAAAAGATTCAGTGCACCGTGCCACACACGCGCATTAAGAAATGCGGGCAGCCGATGCGGCTTCCGTACCCGCCCAGGCTGTCGCAATACTGCCGAGACTGCCCGACCCATTCGGACATTACAAGGCCGAGTTCCTTAGTGCCGAGAATGCAGAAGACGGCGTGATCAGCTGCCTATTGCACAAGACATGTGAACTTTCGTTTGCCGAGACACTTAGTATGCTCACGCAACTCCCCAATGCTTTTCAAATGCTTGTTTAAAGACAGGTAAAGAAATGTTTCAATGACAGTTGGTCTCGGCAATGAGACTCGGCAAACTTACATCGAAGAGTGCTCTGTAGAAAGTTGTGAACGCCACCGTCTATAGATGACCCTATAGACTACTTGATCATTCGAGGGGGGAGGACGAACGAGACAGCAGCAATACTCGGTGGCCGGTAGTCGCCAGTAGGTGGGGTCAGGGGTTGAACTCCCAGTCCTTGGGAAAGTAGTGGTTAGGATTATTTTGTACAAACACTTGCGGTAACCGACTACCGCCAATAAGAAAGCTCTCCGGATAGTGTTTCTGCAAAACATCCAGATAAGGGAGAGGAGGCTGACGTCCTCATGTCGTCTAACGTGCAGTTGTCAGCAGCCGCCTCAAAGAGTCGCTGTCACGGCTCCGACTGGTTAATCACCAGGACTAAGAACTCCATTCGTTGACTCTGCTGTTTGTCAATTCACCAGACCCGGTCTGCTGCACTCCGTGCGTGTATTCCTATCCGAATAAACAACTCTCCGGGTTTATTGGATGAACATGTTTCCCGCAACTGTTGTCTGCCGACTGTGATCAGACTCCAAATTTTGTGTTATGCCACGCCCGCGCAAAAGAAGAAAAGGAAAAGGCAAAGATAGGCTTGGCACGCCACACGGGTGCAAGCCACCTTTTATATGCATACATACTCTATTACGCCCCGGTGGAGCTATTTAGGGCTCGCATGATAATTTACTTATTCTCCAATTTCGTTCGTATCCTTGCGTCTCAGAAGCCCGCACAAGTCTTGTCCGTCTCCGTATGTACCAGTTTCTGTTTTGTATGCCGATGTTACGGTTGCTCATGGGGTCAGTAACAGGCCATCTTAAAGGTGTCTCCCAAAGTGTCCGGCGTGCCATCGACGGCGGCCGACGCTAGTCCTGCCGTCAATGGCACGAGGGTGCGTGGGGCGACGTCGCTTGGTTTGTAAGTAAGTATGGCGAGGTTAAAAACTAGTTCTGGTTGTTTTGCCGCTGGTTGATTTGTGCATCTAGTCTTTCCGTGCTCATGGCGAACTTGATCGTCTCACTGATATCTACGCTCGGCGACCAATCCGTTGGGTCGGACGCGCACCTTCTTCCAGGTATGGCAGGTTTCCTCTCCGCGTTTTCCGTCTGTTGAAGTATCTGAGTCCGCTGTGCCGCCCACTGTATGCATCGAAAGAGAAAATGCTCAACCGTTTCTGCTGCTTGTCCGCAGGCCCACTGCGCTGGCAATGTAGTACAGTAAAAATCGAAATCGGCTTCCACATCCATCCACAAAAACTCTCTTGCGCACAGATATTTGTAGATCCGATTGCTGACAGGGCACATAGATAATCAGGCCCTAACGGTACCTTCTTAACAACCTCCACAGACGAAGCCAGAAATTGCTTTTACACTGTGCTCGTGAACTAGAGCCATAGTGCATAATCCAATGTCCACAAACGGCGATGGCAAGTCCAGTCTCTGCAGTACGCAGCATGGGTCTAAACTGAGAATACAGTAAGAAGCGATTCTGGCTCTGCTGTAAAGGCCATCGATGAATGTGCTCGATGGGTCTCAATATGTACCCAGTCAGCAGAGAGACCCACGTACGTTTGTGCACAGGATAAGTCCTATCCGCAAAGACGGAAAGCAAATTCAATTTCTACTGTTGAGAGGCCAAAGTTAACATGAGACCTACTTGAGTGAGGTGATAGCCCATGGAAGCCGCAACGGAGCGCATCAAGATTGCCCAGACGGAAAGGGGGCAAAGGGACCAGGCAAGGGAGCAGCGTGGCAAATGGGTATACATATTTAAGCATATCTTGACGCGTTTTAACGCCGTATATTGGAGTAGGTTATCCCTTGTGGAAACGAGAATGTCTTGAAACAATGACAGCCTTATGTATGTTGTGCTTTTGCTTCTTCTTCGCTATTCACGAGAAAGCCGTGAGACCGCCCCGGCATACCAGCTTAAGAAGCATCTAAGCGGGCAAGAGGTTCGACCCGCCAAGCGCATCAACGCCGCCCCCTGATAATTGCATGGGCCGTTACTTCTTGGGCACTGTCTGTTCCGTGGATTTAGGCCTTGTACGCATCAAGTTCTAGCGGCTTGGGGATGGTTACGCAATGCTGATGGCTGACTGACTGTGTTGACTCTTCATGTCTCTTCTGGCAACCTTAGTATGGCCTGCTTGAACCACGGCCAATACGTTTTTTCAATCCATCGCTTCAGGTATTGTAACACACACACAATCTGATACACGCCTGTGGCCTTCGCCGTAGAGCCAATGTGCTGACTAGTCCATAATGTCTGCTCAAAGTATCAGCTTCAAAGGCAACGCCGTCGGACGGAGTAGAAATGTCAAACTTACCACCTCATCGCTTCGTTTGGTACTCGCTACAAATACCCATTCGCGTCCCTGGATGATGATTCCCGGCAGGAACTCTGGTAGCTGCGTCTTGGGCTCCGTGCGCCCAACCAATCGGTCCAAAGACCGCCATTGCGCGGCATGCCATGTAACCAGCTGGGCTTCAGCGTTGTTCATTCCTTCCCCATGAATCTTAGTCTCGATGGAAAGAGCGATCGGTCGCGCCTGAAGTGGTGGGAAGTCGGTGTGGTTGATGGATTGACTAGCCAGTGCATCTTGGTCGCGAATAGACTGGATGGCGATGGCTGACAAGGCATCAGGTCTGATACATGCGCAAAAGTCGACCTTGCGGCTTATGGGATCGGCATATTCGGGAATAATTTTGGCGGACGTGCTGATGGCAAGAACATGTCAGAAATATTCAACACGAAGGTCTGGAAGAGTCTTACCAAGGAGCAAATGCAACAAGATTGTCAGTCTTAGACCACAGGCCAGAGAAGGCGAGTTCGAGGATGCGGCTGTGGACAATTGAGTTCCAGCCGGCTTCGTCCATTTGCTCATTGCGGCAGCTGATGCCACGTTCCATGATGTCCAAGACTGCGGAAACTGAGGGCGTGGGGCCAAGAGTACTGCGCAAGCCGTCTCGGGACACTATCTCTTGCTCATAGAAGAAGTCTTCAAATACGTCTTGCTCATACTCTGGATGCGATGTTTGGGCGTCTTCAATCGAAGCCTGAGTGTAACCTTTGGTCAGCAAGCAAGCACAGCGACAAAGGGACATGGTAGATGCGAGAATCACACCTTTTCTGCCAACCCAATGATGCCGATTCCTCTATCATATCGACCAATATCCTTCCACAGACGTTGTAGCGAGGCTGGAATATCCTCTCTGATCGTAAACTGTCGTGCAATAGCATCCCTTACAGCCCAAGTACGTGCCAGCTTCTTCGGAGAGACGGAGCCACTACGGCGCGAGGATGCAGTAAGCGGCGCGTTTCCCCAACCAGGGACCATTCGAATCTTTTTGCTTCTAGGCGTCTGGTCGTCATCTTGGTTCGAGGCGATGCTGGAAGAGTCAGGTGTGTCGTGTGACCGTTTCGTTGGCGAGACGGACATGGTTAATGACGTCGGAGGGGTAAGACGGCATAGCCGTTTCGATGAAGTCTTCAAATTTTCTGCATCTGTGAGACGGCGCTTTACGAGTTTCTTGTCTGCCACGGTGCGAGTTGCGGTGAATGGCGAATCTGGAGAATCTGGGCAAGGCGATAGACCGTTGAGCCAAGCCTGGACATTTTCCTGCAAACGATTTGTGGTTGTGGTCATTTGATTAATGCTGAGAATCGCACGCCAGTGACTTGACTTGAAACAAAAAAGAAGACGCGCATTCTCGGTTGGGTTGAGGAGGTCGTCGTTGAGTCCTGACCTTTTTTGAAGCGTGGCTGCGACGTCGTGATGGATCGCGTCGCCAACACCGTGGTGGTGAGCTTTGCAGAGTGCCGAATGAAATGTCATCCAAGTTTCGGCTGTTGGGTGTTGTGGCTCATGGCCCGTGCTGTCGCGCGGGGCAACTTACTGTCGCATTGCGGCTTATGTAATGTGGCTCATTGACCGGTAGGGGTGGCTTGTCTGCGCCAGAGGGCGGCTGTGGCCGGTTTCAAGATGGATGCCGCCACCAGTACGTACTTTCTGTCCCCCACCTCTGACTAAGGAATGTTATCCAATAGACGGCGCACCTCAAAACTGGTCGTAATTCCCTTTTTGTACCAAGCCATGTGATGTTTCCTTGGAAATCAGTTCATTTCGCTGAATCAGGTCTTGAATCAGGCTTTGAATCTCTCTCAAACTCTGCACCAGTTACGCAAGACAACTACAAATCCTTCATGCCGCTGTTGGGCCGCGAGTGTGAGGTAAGGGGTCAATGGGATGTGTTGTTGAGTGTGAAGACTGACTGGCTATGGACATATCCCGACTATCTATATAGTGTGTGGAAGGTCTCTTATACTCGCGTATTCTTAGAACACTTAGTCGTACTTGTGTAAAACCATATTCTCTCATAGGCGTAGTATGACAATCGTTGTAATGAGTGTACTGGCATGGGCCTGAGAGGTTGAACGTATGCTGACCCTAAGCATTCTGCTGAAATAAATCTGAACAATCGCTAGTTTGTCAGCCAGAATAACTAGTGAAATCTTCCCACTTTTATTCCTTATCTAATCTTTAACATCGCACCTGCTGCTGAAAAGAAAGGAATCCAAGTAAGTTGTGGCCCGCCCCTGGAAGTGCGTTTCAGGAAGGATAAACGTCAAATACGTCACGTGACCACTATCACACGAAAAGATAAAGAATGAGCGCTCATGAGTAAGAGGGACGGACGCTCGTGGATGAGTAGAACGGACGTCGGTTCGGTGAAGAAGACGCCACATAGGATGAGTTGGGAATCGAGATTTGTATATGGAATGGACTCGAGCCGGGCTCGAGGACAGACTTTCCATAGCTTCTTCAGCAATCAACTTAGTATCAGATCCTACGATCTCTTTCAGCGTTCCCCACTGAGAAGAACCCTCTTGACAAACCTACGTTTGATCACCACAGCCCTACTGTACCAATGACATGCCGAATCACGACCTGATTTGCCTAGCACGGATCTCCGAGCGGTGGGTGTCACCCTGGCGGTCCTGTGATGTCTGGGCGTCTGTGAATTTAGTCGTGATTCGCTTTTTGTACCTAGCCATGTGAGTTCCTTGGAGACCAGTTCATTTCGCTAAATCAGGTCTTGAAATCACTTGCCGGAACTCTTGGCCCAAATGACACGTCGTCTGGTACGCGACAATTTAGGCTTTGAATCCCTTCTCACCTCTGTACTGGCTACGCAAAACCGCGGCACGTTCTATCCACCGCGTATCAACCGGCTGATTTGGAGACATGGAGGGAGACATTCTTACGAGCGTCCAGCTATCAATTATCGACGACGCGCAGCTTTTAGTCTGTTCTCGGGACGACTGCCGTATTGCTCTATCGCCGACCCCGAGCGGTGTGCCCGAGCACCTACGTTCGCGACATCAGACACCGGTAGAGAGGCGCAAACAGGTGACTTACACACTACGGCGTTCAGATCTGCGCCTCAAGGAGCCTACTTCTGTTGAACCACGACCCGACGGCGTTCTCATTGATAGCCGGCTCCGGTGTAACGATGGATTTCTTTGCGATCTCTGCCCGTTCCGCACCATGAGCAAGCCGATGATCGCGCGGCATCTCAATAGAGAGCACTTTCGGGCGACTACTGGGAGGTGGGCAAGGAGTCACGCTACAACTGCCTCGTCGTACATGCCGGTATACTTACAGGCCTGGGTTCGTAACCCGCCCCGGTCGCAATACTGGACTGTTTCTCGGGCCGATGCTGCCACGACGGCAGTCAGGCCCGTTGGACGCGATGAAGAGCTGCGTCACTTATACGACGTCCTGGCGCGTGAAGAGGCGTGCCGTCAGCGGATCAGCCGTACCCAAGGGAGGGTGCCTTACTCTACTGCCCAGGAGGCGTCTTCCAATAACACAGCAACGGCATACACGGAACTTCGACCCTTGCTAGAGCGGACGGGATGGGAGCGGGTGTATACCAACGTGGATCGGCAGCTTCTCTAGTCGCTGACTTTTCGGCCAGTAGAGCGTTCGTATCGCCCTCTTCTTCTGTCGGCAGGCCTGTCGCAGCATGATAATGATATCGTTGGCCCTGCTGATGACGAGGCTAAGATTGCAGCGCTCTGCCACACGACGTATAATACCATCAACCGATGCGAAGAAACGGCAAGAACATCCAGCAGGTACGCACTCTGCTGGCTACGTAGTGTGCACCCGAGCAACTGCTACCCGAAGCCGTTTACGCTTGTGTCAAAGAAGAATACTCGAAAACGTTACATTTCCGTGCTCCAAAGGTTTGTGTCGCTGATCTTCCGGGTCTATCGGTTGTCAACAGATCTCCGACGAGACGCAGCCGGCGTGTCCCTCACGGAAGAGCACTGGGTTGTCTGTGGGAAGGTCTGGAACCACCCTAGTCTGAACATGGCAACTCCTCAACGTGGGGAATGGGAGAGTCTGAACACAGGTATCCCCGCAGACTGCGCATGTGAAGATATGGGGGAAGTCAGCGACAGGGATGGTTGGGAAGAGGATGACAGCGATCTTGACGACCAGCAATCACTAGCCAGCAGCAGCGACGACGAGGGTTCTCAGTTCGACGATCCTGAAGAGTCTTTTTGCGACGATAGCAGTCAGAACGAATGCGATACCAGTACCAACACGCAATTTCCAAAAAGACCGGAAGCCGAGGGAGTAGAGGCCGCGGGCGCAGGTAGCCTAGACGAGCTTTTGTTTGAGCTGATCATGCTATTCTGCACACAGGAGAGTCAAGACGGGGATCCTAGTCAGACCTTACTGGTTTACTTCTCTGGAATTCTGGGATTTACCAAGGACTTCCAGAGCTTCCAACCGCCCCGAAACTATACGAGCCATCTTGCTACGCTCATCTACATTCAACGCCTTCTTTTTCTTGAATATGCAGTTCCGAAGGGGGGATATGCCGAGATGGGCATACCAGAGCGGAGCAGACAGGTCGGTCTTGCTAGGCTTCGGGACGTGAGGCACAGGTTTACTGTCCTTGGTGCAGAGTCCCCATTCGAGGAGATGTTTTCCCTGCTTTGTTTTGGCAGGAAGATAGCCGCCAACAGCACCCCACCTATCGTTCTTCACTGGAGCGACGACGAGCAGAAGGTGACTGCGTCGGGGGCCTGTTCCGTTACTATGGAAGATTTCAGGAGTTTGCCGAAGGACCTCGTCACAAAGGCAGATTAACTTTGTCGTGAGCTTCTATACCATCTTCCACCGATCGAAGACCTCGGACATATCCGGGATGACTTTACAAAGTCAGGTATGGGGTTTTGTCTTCTCCATCATGTGGCAAAGAAGCTTTCAAAGGAGCACATTATCCTATGTAGTCGAGCTTGTGCAGGAACCGAGACGAGGCTGGCGTCTAACGAGAAATGGCGTCTTTCGCTTGTACAGCGCTACATAACGAAGAAGAAATTATTTCTTGAGCATATTGCTGCGCTCATGCATATCACTGGCGGCGAAAAACCTAGGAGTTTCGACATCCTTCACTTCCGGTGCGAGAATACAGGTGCCGCAGAGCGCGGTATATGTGTATAAAGCATCATTGGTCTATCTGACACGGAGCCCAAAAGCCAAACGGTCAAAAAAGCTGGAGACTGGAAATTCACTTTATACAAATGGTTCAAAGCTTACAGTTGACGAACCTAAGGACCGAATTATTGAAACGACGATTCAAACGAAACCTATCTCGATAGGCTATGAGATCCGAATCCTTGCCCGGTCTGGCTCCTGCATGCGAGCTCCTGTGTACAGTATCTCTCGCGCGTGCGGACAAAGGTTCCGTATGCATTTATTCCCCAGGTGCCCTCCGTCTGGTCAGCTAGGGTGGCCGGGTCAGCTGCTGGGAAGCTGGCTCTGTTGACAGCAACGCAGCAGGGAATCGGCATATCATCGGTGATGACGGCAGTACAAGACAGGATCAGAGACATGGTCGGACTGCGAGCGAAGCGTACACCCGAGTCCTCTTCGACATCACTGGAATGAACATATGTCGAGTGCGGTGGTGATACGAGCGTCGGACGCGGTGTAGAGGGAGCCAACGCATTGGGCCCCTTGAGGTTGTATGGCTTGACCTGATGCTCGTCAACAAGAGAAGAAGTACCAGATAGAATGTTCTGACAGCTAGACTTCCGCTGAGTAGATCTCCGTCGTGCATCCGTGTCTTGCACCACCATGGACTAGGTCGTCAATCGAGAACGCTGCCCAGATGCGCGGCTACCACGATCACGCTTCGCCGTAGACTCTAGAGTCGCTGCCACCTTCTTGTGCCCGATGTCATCGTCGCAGACATCCTCTCCCAAAGCGTGCTTAGGATTGGCAGCCTAGGACGCATCCCCGGGATTCTCGAACGGATCGATGCGGACGCTGCGACCACTGATAGGCGGCGCAGTGGCATCATTGCTAGTAGCTTCAGGAGCGGCAGCAGACTCAATATCAGCAACGGACTCATCGTCAGCAGCGAACCCATCGTCACAAGCAGCCTCTTGACGACGATACTCAGCATTGGTATGGCCAAGAAGACTCGCTGGAGCTGAGGGTTCTCCTCATCAGGGATAGCTTGATCGTTACCAGCTCCGCTCATGACCAAGCCATCGTTATTACGATCACCAGAAGCCACGGCGACATTGCGGAATCCGCTCAGTCTTGTCTCCATAGCGTCGATAAGGCCCTCTGAGTCGGACTCTGAGCCGTAATTTGAATCCTTGTTGCTGGAGATGATCTGAAGACCGGACCGCTTGATAGGAAGGGCGGCGCAACTGGACATTGCCGTAGTGAGTCTTGATGTGGGCCAGGCGCGATGGGGAGAGTTTGAAACTCACGAGTGTTCTCCCGATCTATACTCTCGAGATCACCGATACCACCGCTACTAATGCGAGCACTAGCAGCGGCAATACGCTTAGCTGTACGAAGCTTAGAACCAGTGGATACCCGGTTGAAACGCTGAGCAGAAGCGAAAGTGGAAGTAGTGCGCCTGAGCCTTCTCTCCTCATCATGCGTGTTCCAGGCGTGCTTGGTGCGACTCTTATCTGTTCTGGACCAAATAGATTATAACTTCTCAGAGTACCTGGGAGCAGGTGGGTGCGCCGGCGTGACGTCTCAGATGACGTCGCCTCGAACCTGAATAAGGTGTGGTTGACGAAGGCAAAGTCCTTATTCAGAGTAGGGAGTGGTAGAGGTCAAGGAAGCTCGCCTGGTCCGCCTTGTTACGACGGCGTATACGTCGAGGCGTGTTTGCATCGAGCTTGAGCCCACGGACAATTAACTGAAGCTTCTTGGGAGCAAGTATTAAGTAGACCGTTTTGATGTAGAAGAACTAAAGCGATCCAGTTTTGTTCAAATTCGCTGCTATTCTAGTCCACGTTATTACTGATGTGAGTTTGGATTGTAAGCCATAACCTGCTATTGAAGCGATCTTTGAGGGCGGTCTTAAGGTACTGCTTGACATGATTCGCCTGTATCAAGCGTGCATCATCCAAACGATCGTTTTTACTGTTGTCGTTGTCATTAATGGTGTTGATGGTGTTGATGCTCTCACAGTAACGTAAGGGGCCGTACGTGGGCTCGCTCGAGATGGAGGGCTCAAGCGCGTACAAGTGACTCAGCAAGAGGCTGATGACCTGCCTGGTTGATCCGAGGAATTCGCGTTCCTTCATGTCGTTACGTTGGTGATTGCGAAACTGTTCAAGAGATGCCAAAACTTTGATAGCTGTTTTAGACCATTGATCGACAGGCAGACGATGTTTTTCCGATTCCAACCCCTCGTATGGGGTGATTAACGACGGATACGAGAGATTCGGACTATCCTAAGTTGTTCTCAGCGACGACAGTTGGCAGGCGATATCAGGACGATAAATTGAATAAAGCATTTCTGCATGTTACGATGCGTGGAACTACTTGGTGAAAGAGAAATTCCTAAGAATGGGTTCCATTGCTCTTCATCTTGGCTTTTCGTTTGATCGCCATCAGGCGTGCACTTCTTCTGACCTTCCTTTGGCTACTTTCGTTAGGCTGCCGTCGCTTTGATGCTTGTGTTTCGTTGCTCTGGCCTCTACATTTAGAAACTGAAGAAGCCTAAGTTAGCAGCGTCTTACTTCGAATTGAGGTCTGACGGGCCTTTAGAGTCCTCTGATCTATGAAGGAGTTTTTGTGATTCGGTATTCCAGCAGCAGAGGGCGTCTGCATTCTTTGTACCTCTTAATTAGTGTTCAGTAATGGGGATGATATGAGGATGGCCCTTACTATCTCTTGGTTTTGTTTGTTCAGCGGGATGGCCATAACTGAGGGGGCTTGTTTGAGATCAAGAAAACATGATCGGTAAGTCAAACTTTCAAATGTCACAGGGTTTAAATAGCTAGCCAAGTTTTCTTTCGCTGCCTTGTTACTGTCATCCCTGTCGAGTCATCGTCGAATCAAATTTATAGGGGGCACAACGTGACACAAACCACTGAATTGGATTACGGTTACTTAAGTCATCACATCTTGTAACCTGCAGGGTATGTTGTCAGCAAGCCTGTTCGGGTCACGTCAAAAGTCGGCACTTTAGGACCAAGTGAGGTCGGAGATGGTCCTTCCATGATATTTAGAATATTCAGGTGGGTCTAAACCGCAACTGCATCTTGCTTTCATATTTGCTGTAAGATAATTGACTTCACTGTTTTCCATTTCGTGAGCGGCTATGAGCCAAGATTGGTGTAATGCTTTTCAGTACTAATCAATGAGAACGACTATCTTTGGGAAACATCCCTCGGAGGGCTCTATTGGGGTTGCGGCTCGTTGCGAGTTACTCTGTTCGTTGGTTATCGCCGGGTGGACCCTGATGAGCACTCAATTAAAGTGATCACACAGTGAATGGACTTTACCAAAGTCTTTCGGTCCCGTTGTATTAGGGTTCTATAACTAGATAATTCAGCAATTTTTCCGTCTCGATAAGTGGTAGCCTTTAGGTTCGCTGAATAACAGACCATCGGCTCATCACAACCGTATGTAAAACGAACTGGCATTTGCGCGGAGTATGATAGAATGTGTGACTTTGTGATGGCGAGACACATCTCTTTCTAGGCATTTAAGCGAAGCTTCTCGCCGCTACAAAGGCGAATCTAAAAGTTATTCGGGAACCGCGTCGCGCGCCTGAATAGATATCATTTGTATTCATCACAGCATATGTACCTTACTACTCTATTCCGGAAGATTGATATCTGCCAGGCTGATGTTGATTGGAGACGTCCGAGACACCCTACGGGACAGATGTTATGTCACGCACTCTTGAGATACTACTACGTTTTCTGAACTGTAAAGGCTCTCTTCCGGAACCAGGACTGATATAAAAAAGAAACTTAGTCATTATTTTATTGACACCGGGATTCACCGCATACTCCCATTCATCAGCATCAGCTAAAACCATGCCAGCCAATGTGGATCCCTCAGATAATATTAATCACTCAAAGCAACCCCTAGCTTCGAGATTGGTAATGTCACACAATGAGTAATCGTCCCATACAAAGCTCGGTGTATACACGTCAAACAAACGCACTCATTAAATTAGGTTCCAAGTATTTAAGTCAGACTATCTGCACCGACTGTTGCCTTGCGAGCATACGTCCGACAGATCTCCAGACATGTTTGCAAAGTCTTTCTCAATCTTGCTGTATTGCGTCGCTGCCGTGTACGCTCATAATATTTCCAGAAACACAGGGCCCAAAAAGCCAGAAATCGGCTGGAAAGCAGCCGATTTCCCTCGGGCCTGTCAGAACTGGGCGGTTTCGGACTACGAGATGGTAGCTCAGTGCAACGACACCACTTCAAGGTTTGTGTGGTCTCGTCTGAAGCTCAGCGAGTGTCTCTGGAACGATGAGGGTACACTCAAAGCCAACGAGAAGTAAGCTAGTTGAACGTGATTATGGTGCCGCTTGAACTCACGTTTTGTACCAGCGGAAACTTTCAAGATTGGTGTTCCAATTGCTCTATTGACGGGAGCCAGTACTCTTGCAATTGTAAGCCAGACAAAGACAGCATTGAGGTGCCTAGTGCCATTGACCTGGGTATGGACTTTCTCTATCGTCTTTCTATTGACTCATCCAATTAACGTTCGGAACATAGGCCGAATCATAGGGAATTTCGATGGCCGTCTCTGTTGTGGGAGAACGCGATTTACTTGCGGAGATGGAAGTCTATACGGCTAACGTAGGTTTGGTTTACTTACCCATAATTCCGACGATAACTTTCATTGTTCTGCGTTTGATTTTGTCTATATCTTAATACAGTCTGTACTTTGTTTGACTGTTATGGCGAAGTCTTTTTATGTTCTAAGCGCTTGAGATGTATGTGGATCGATAGTTTTTGAAGCCGCTCGGCTTTTCACTCAGGGCACGTTATATATAGAGCTTCTGTGGCTGTTTGAGGATGTGCGTCTTCTAGTGGGGGTCTATTCTCTAAGTTGTTCTTGGAATTATATTTTACTGTGTCAAATACAATTTGAAGCTTTATTTGACTTGAGTTTAGGTCCATCGGTCTTCTGAACATAGCTAGCTAATTGAACCTTGATTATCTATAACTATGGTTATTTTGGTTTATATTAGTCGCAGAGACTTAAAGATATAACTATGCTTGAATACCTTTTTTTTAGTTTCGCTTTAGGAAAAAGCTTATGAAAAAATGATACAAGATTAGAAACTCTAGTAGCGGAAGTATCGAAGGTTAGACAACTTGAAGACTGTGCAAGCCGTCGCATAATTTACAAAAATGCCAAGATGATGCGTAAATTCTTTGAAAGTTCGCCACTATGAGAGAAGGACTGTCATGTACTAACATGGCATATGCTAGCTAACGAAGTCTTTATGGCGTTTCTTAGATATTGTAATTCATTTCATGCTTATATATTTAAGTGACCCTACTCCATTATTACTTCCCGTGAACTATGTTTGTCTCGCTTTATCAATCACTCTTTTCCAGATGAAATCCGGACACTCCAGGCTTATCGTGACACCCAACAGCCAGAATACTCACGCAGAATCATTTGACCCGCAAACCCATGCCTCGTACAAGTCATCTAACCGCATAACGGCTAAAGGCAATTGAAGCGGAGCCATCCGGCGTTCTGCTAGAGGAAGCACTTGCTGAAGAATATGTTGACAAAGCGCTCGCTGAAGCGGCCGAATTGACACGTCCGTATCAGAGAAAATGACATTCAACTCTTGTGCCCCGGCCTCGTTTTCATCAAAATTGGCTATTGAGAGATGATTGTTTCCATGGTGGTCCATAGACATGTCGGTGACTTTTGGCCAGCGCAGACATCCGCGAGACGCAAGAAAGTCCATGAAATACAGAGCTTTAGGTATGGACAAGCTGCCATCAGTCGTGTACCGGCAACAACGATGGAGTTTCGTCAGGATAAATTGCAGTGATGTTTGTAAACCTTCCAACGGCGACCAAACTCTCGTACGATCGACGCCATGTTGAATGAGGAATTCCACTTTTGATCTAAAGAGACTCGGTACTTCTTCGTCAAGAGCATTATACCAAGCCTGTCCGACGATCTGTGAATTCACCTCACTGTTAATGTCCGCACCAGCTTCGAGAAGGAACTCCATCACTTCTGATGAATGAGCGTCCGCTTTCGCAGCCTCGATGAGGGCATAGTCAAGCTCTCTCTGGTATTCAGTGCGGTCTGGTTCATTTGCGACCACGCTCTGGTCCCGGAAAACTGGTGCGGCAAGCTTCTTAAGAATCTTCTCCATTGCCATTTTTTTCCAGTCCCAGAACTGCCGCTCCGAGGAGTAGCCGCAATTGGGATCATACCAGAATCCGATGTGGAAGCGACTGCTTGCCGCGAGCGCCAGTGAGCCGAGCAGAGGGCAAGTGCCATTCGCAAGCCAACCGATCGTTTTCTGACAAGACGAACGTCGTCGAGAGTCACTGCTGTATACCACATCGGCACCCACATCTAGCAGGGCGTTGGCTGTCTTGAAACTTGCGCGCACCAATGCCTGATGGAGGAGGATGTTCAGTTCGAAGCTAGCAGCAAAGCGATGCGGATCAGCCTGGTGGCCCAGTATCCCATGCACGACATCGGGCCTGTCATGAGATACGGCCCATGCCAGAGCTGTAGGGTCTTCTATTGCTCTACGATAGAGGATGGTATTTGCGACACAATGCAGATGTCGCGATGTACGAGAAAGCCGACTGACAGATGGTGTGTCGTCTATAGAATCGATGACTTGGATCATGATTTCAGTTGCAAGGCTTTTGAGAGAACACATAACGGGCATCACGATCGCCAATATGACTGCGACTGGAGATATACAAGAACAACCTTCCGAGCCAGGTCCATTGTTCTGCGTTAGCCAAGTTTACATAAGAGCCTTCGAGTGCTGCCAGATAGATATCGAGGCTCGTGGAATTATGTTGAATGGTCACGGGCGTCTTTGTGTCGAGTCCAAGTCTTTTTAGAAGGCAATGACGCAACTTAATCACAATAGGTTGACGAGAACTAATCCTGGGTATACACAGCGAGAATATGAAACTGAAATTGTTATTGTCTGACATGATTCATGCCTTGTTCAGTGACGATATAATCTACTAACATTTCCTAGCGCTTTCGTCCTCTCCCGCTACCTCGGCTAGAGCCAAGTTCATTTATAGGATTTTAAGTACCGGTCACTGAAGCCAAAGAACTTGTTAGTGATCTGAGGCAGGTAGGAGCTCAGCATTAACATCAGCAAGATCGGGTTTGTGTGAGCACATGATAGGACGGCCTTTTCAAAACGAAGTGGCACTATCTGAATTTCAAGTTTGTACCTTTGCGAAACCCGATTCACAGGGTTGTGGAAGACGCATACGGTCAAAGGTACCTTTGGGCCATTGCCTAACTGTCACGTAAGAGGCTCGAGACGATTCATGTCAACCAATCCCAAGCTTCCGTCTTTTGACCAACGACGACGAGTACTAAAGCCGAGCCTTCTTTTCATGTCAGTATTAATGGACTCAACTAGCAAAGTGCTTTGCGAAATGTTTACGTTATCGCCGCTCGAGGCTATCACCATAGTCACCTCCATAGCCTACGCTGCAATTCTCAGACAACGGAAGCCTTCGAAAAGTTCTAGAAAATCCAAGGTTTGTGGGAGTCCAGTTAGATATACAGGGGAAAATCGACGGGTCCGCTTTGCGGAATGTACCGAGAAAGCTCTCACTTCGTCGATGCGTCTAAGTGACGAACAAATCCCTCTCGATGTGGAACCAGAGGGGAGACTTGCCCAACATGGCAGACCAATAGTCAAAACGCGAACTGGTCGTTCTGTGAGACTTCCCAAGCGATATAGGGACAATAAGCTTACTTCAAAATCTACATCGGATTGAAGAATGATGCTGGAACGATGCACACCTACGTCCAGCTAATTATACACCGAGTTTCTTTCTCATCACGCAGACGTATTTTTCTTCTATTGCGAAGCGAGGCGAAGTTCTAAGTGGAAGACATATAGTTGAAAGTGGCTTGACTCTTCCAAGTGGTAGACGTATAAGGGGTAGTATGTTGTACAAACCTTACGAGACGGGCAGTCGGTGTGGATAGGTGCTGCGATCCCACTCCGACTGGCAAAGCATCAATTGTAGCTTCGACTTCTTCAGAATCTGGTAGATTGCCTTCAACCCCCAAAAAGGGCTCCGAGGATGGGTTGGATACAAGCACTACTCGCTACCTTCATGCGTATGGCTTCTGTTGACAAAGCCGTGCGCTGATAGAAACTTTCTGGAAGCCCCTCTGATCTGACTGATTGAGTGCAACATAGCAGTATCGGGCTTTCTATACGGCGATGATACGTAGCTGCGTGTCAATAATCGTAGCCCCATAGTTGTGGATAGTAGCTCCCGACAATGCGTCTTTGTATTTCTGCTCTTTCACAGGCTTAAGTGCCTGACATACTCAGTGATATATCGGGTGCTCGCGAGGGAGGTAGAACGACGTCGTCAGCTGCGTCGCTAGCTTTACCAAACTCCGACATAATTTTGGGACATAGAAATTTTTCAAATGAATTACGAGCGTGAAGCTCTTGAAGTAGAGAAAATTACCCTGAATAGGGGGCATACGCTAGCGTTCAGATCAGCCCTGTCAAACGAGGCAAAACTACGCAGTCAGCCAGAACAAGGGATGTATTCAACTTTAGCCTCGGGTTGGCCACCTGGGGTCACCTAGGGCCACCTGGATACAAAATTTAAACACAGAAATGCCACAAATTATTCGGGCGGCTATGAATTGTCGCTAAGAATGTGCGAGTACATCGACTTCTGGCTATCATCCCAACGGAAATGCGTTACATGAATACAATAATACTCACGACCACGGAGAATTGACATAGTCCTTACAAAACTAAGCAACCGACGACCTAGCTTGCCATCCTTTCCCTCTCCAGCTAGCCACCCGCCTACCCCGGACAATCATTAACGCTTGCTGCCTCGGACCAATACCGCGCCGTCCCCTCCACCGTTGCCTACATAAGATCCTAGTTACATGCCATCCAACATAAATTCGACGACTTCGCTCTTCGTAACATGCAAATAAAGCCTGCTGACCGAGCGTGGGAGCGTCCGAATAAAGCAAGAAATATCATCGATGAACTCGGTGGCAATAGAGACGGCCTCTAGCCTCGAAAATCCGGCCAGTGAAACGATACGACCATACTTGTGCGGCGGATTTCCTGTCCCCACAATAAGTTCCAGTCCATGGAGCTGAGTCGCCACTGGCTTCAAAGCTACTAGCATATCTGAAGGTGTAGCAAATAGCTCGGAGTCGGCCTTCGCATCGAATTGGAAGCTACATTCCACCACGCGAAGTCTAGGGCAGTTGTTGTGTGGGAAGTGTTGGGTGCCCTGAGAACTTGTATCGTCTTTGAAAAACTGGACATTGATGAGTCGAACCTTTCTGACATTTGGAAGATTCAGTTCTTCGTTAAGCATCCCAAGATTCATGACGCAGTCATCAATCCTGATTTCTTCGAGACTAGGTGCCGCGTCGAAAAGACCAAAACAGGCGCTCAAACACAGCGAGCATTGACGCCGTAGATACTGTACTCTGAGAATCTTCAGGCTCAATAATGGAGTTTCCCTCAATCGTGTGAAATAGGATGCACTCTCAATGCCAGAGAGACGTAGGTAGAGATGAGTAAGGTTCGGCAGCACGTAAAACAGGTAACGCAAGATGACTGCCTCACCCCCCCGGTAATCGTAGGTCGGATTTGCGTCGGATTTTGGCAGCTTTCGCCTGAGGTATGGAAGAGTCTTCTCCGAACGGACGAATCGATCTGCGGTCGTATCCAGTGAGAGAACTCTTACACCAGTAGCGGTTGGGTTTTGGTCAATTGAGCGGACAGTAACATCCCATTCCCACCTGCTTATGTCAACTTTTAGACAACGTGGTAACTGACCACAGTCATTAGACAACAATTTAGCGTATTTTTTCGCTTGAACTGGCTTACCTTGCTGTGTCTTGTGGATACATTGATACTCATCTTTGCTGTGTTTATTTGGCGGAGAGATGCAAGTCAGGAGATCAGACGATAGTAGAACAGCAGAGACGACAGTCGTGGACCTGCAAGGCATATATGTATCTTTATCCTGCAGTGTATTGCACAAATACACTGTCTAAACAACAGCTAGCATCTATATACAGATTGCATGCGCTTTGGCTCCTTTCTACTAAACAAACCGTGGTTAACAAACTTTGGGGGGGAAACGAACGTCCGTCACAGTATAGCCAAAAAGCAGGGAGATGCCATGTGCCCTTAACAAATGGACGAACACCAGTAAACATTTCAAGGAACTCATCTAAGTCAGACAATCGCAGCAAAAAAGCTAGCCAAGAAGTATTAGCTGCTATCCGTTACCAATACTAGTGGCGTTAGAGCCCTTAGATTGACAGATGTAACAGCCGCGATACAACATGCTATTGTATGTAGAGATCTTCTGACCAGTCGGTTAGTAACCGATCTATGAAGATTAAGCTTCTAAAAACCAGGTGGAGATGCTGATGTGGGTCAACATGATTCACCAATTGGGACGGATTCTTTGCACAAAGCAAGCTAGATAGTGGAGTTGGACCCATCTCTCCGCACAAACATATACCCTTTGACGTGCGTTTGGCTGAAGGAGGAAGAGTCTGCAGAGCGGAACTTCCACGGCCAGGGAGCGGAATAGGCGGCGCTGGGAAGGCGGTCAGGAATGGCAGCATCCAGCCTCTGGTTCGGCCGGCGTTTTGACCCACCTCGCGACCCCAGCTCGTAACATCCGGAGCTGCTTGGCATGAAGAACACCGCCACCTCCACCGTTCAGCTCTTTCGAGACTCCCATAGGTGCCAGACTTTGACCTCTCAGTCTCATCTAGAGGTGACGATGGGTGCCGTGAATCTGAGAAAGGACCCGGGGAGACGTCAATTTTGTTACACCTCAGAAGTTGCTGTGGGCCTTTCATCTACTAAAACCGGTCATAGATTCTAATCTGACTTCTGACCGTGTAGTAGGTAGATGTTACTGTTGGACGGGATGGCTGATGATAGGGCCCGAGCGAAGGATTACACAGTAGTGAACAACGATGAGCGTAACACATCATACGATCAAGGCTAGGAACCGTTATGCCACATCACGCCTACCAAGAGTGAATTAGATGGCATTGATCAGGAGCAAGACAATCGCAAATGAGCAATGCCCCATACGAGCAGATTCACACAACGACAGCAACACATCGAGGGAGTTCGTGCTCCTACACGCCATTTTGGTAGTAACATCGTTGAGCAGGCTACGTTCAAACCATTTCCATCATATGCCAAGGCACGGAGCCACTCGCCAGTTAGCGTCCTCGAGCCTTATACTCCAGTGCCCCTATCCCGCCGAATAGTTCGTTGGCCAAGCGCCCATGATAATCACAACGCCTCATTTCGAACATTCGTATCTCGTATACCTCATCACACCAACAAACCTCTCCATTCCTGCGACCAGGCCCATCATCCAACACTCCGCAGGCAGGCATAAGTCCTTGTAGGATACATTTGAGTGTGGCGAAAACAAAAGCCGGCAGTCTGCTTGACGAACTGACTGGCATATCGCTGAGGCAGCTCTTCCTACATAGACCAATCACGTCAATTCAAGCGCGGACGGGGGAATAACGCCTTAACAATAGTAACAACGACCATCGAAACAACCCCAAATCCATTTCATACCAGGATCCCTCGGACTATCATCATGTTATTTGCCTTCTTATCTCTTACGATGATGACCCCGTATTAGTGTAACTATATTTCACCACCAACAGCATAGTCCGTAATCTGGAAGGTGGCAAACATGCCGCGCTGGCGGCTGGTGAATGACCCAGGGTTATATCGGTTATATGACGTTACCGTTGCCTGCACATCGCCAGTGCACCACTAATTGAGCCTCGTTACGATTGCTACGTTCAAATACAAAGCAGTCGGTCGTCCATGCGCTAGAAATATTATAGGAGGCTGATTGTTACCACCAAGCTTTTGTTTGCCTCTGGCCTCTCTTCATCAGTTATTTAAATTGCAGTTGTGCACGCTTTCCTCACGACTACGGTCAGCCACAATCATCAAAATGTCCAACCAAATTAACAGTGGGAATGATGTTGAAAAGAGAGAGCCAGACGAGAACGTTAATACGCGGCAGCCTTGGAAACCATCTAGGCACCAAATGGTCATCATTGTAACCTTATCGATTATGTCTTTTGTCATCGCTTTAGACGCCACCGTCATCGTCACCTCCCTCTCGGTAAAGTCTCACTCCTTCTCGGGAAGCTGGTATCTGGGGAAAAAAAACAAGAAAAAGACTGACCAGTACTCTGAACCAGTCCGTCATCCAAGACATTCGCGGAACATCTACGCAGGCCTTCTGGGTAGGCACTGCGTACTTGATCTCATGCGCTACTGTCATGCCGTTCCTGGTATCGCTTAGTGACATCTTCGGCCGGCCTGTCATTTTGATCGGCAGCCTGGTGGTTTTTACCATTGGTACAATTTTGTGCTGCGTTGCTGATAGCATCGCACTTTTGCTCGGCGGCCGTGTGGTCCAGGGCATCGGCGCTGGCGGGATGTATGTGCTCAGCCTGGTGGTCTTCACCGACATTGTGCCCCTTCTCCACAGGCCCAAGTTTTATGGCATTATGTGAGCATCGACATTCCATCAGGCGATCCGCAGAAGAGACGTACTAAGGAATGAGACAGACAGCTAGCGTGGGCGGTCGGTTCGCTTGTTGGTCCCGTCATTGGGGGCGCCATCGCCGAGCACACCACGTGGCGGTGGATCTTCTACATCAACTTCCCCATCTGTGCATACTCCCTCATCGCCGTGCCCGTTCTTCTAACTCTGAAGCCTCCCACGCGCACGTTTGCTGAAAAGCTTCAGCTTGTCGACTGGCTTGGCGGTTTTCTTTTCATCGGCTCTATGGTGACGTTCCTGGTCGGTCTCTCCTGGGGTGGCAATGACTTTCCTTGGCGCAGCGCACAGACGCTGGTGCCGGTTTTCATTGGCGCCGCCGGGTTGATGACCACGCTGTTCTACGAGCATCGTTTCGCCGAAGTCCCGTTCGTGAAGAGGACACTCTTCACAGACATTAGCTCCATCACTGTTTACGTTCTTGGTCTCCTTCAAGGATTTATTGTAAGTAGAGCTATAACAAACAACGGAACGCCCTAAAGACCCGCTGACCCTGGATCAGCTCTATGGCCAACTCTATTACGTCCCGTTCTATTTCCTCTCAGTCCAACAGAAGACGCCGACGATGGCGGGCGTGGCAATGCTTCCTGTTACGCTCTTGCTGGTTCCCGGCTCCATCATCTCAGGCGTCCTCGTATCCCGCTTGAACGCTTACCGCTGGTCTATCTGGATGGGCTGGATTCTGGTAGCGGCTGCTTCAGGCCTTTTCGTCAGTTGGAGTGTTGATACCCACTTGGCCGTCAACGTCGTCACTCTCGCTATCGCTGGCATCGGACACGGCCTCGTCCTCAACGCGCAGACCTTTGTGACGGGCGCCATCGTCGATAAACGTGATTCAGGTGCCGCGGCCGCCATGTATCTATTCTTACGCATGTTGGGGTCCGCTGTCGGTGTCAACATCGGCTCAACAACATTTCAAAACGTCATGGCTGCAGAGCTCGAGAGGAAAGGCATTGCAAGAAGCATCGCGCAGCACGCCGAGGAGTATCTCGTGGTTCTCCGGACGCTGCCTGATGATCCGTTCAAGAGAAGCGTGCTGCAATCGTATGCCTCGGGTCTCAAGGGCGTACACTGCGTTTACACTGCGTTGGCGGCGATTGCATTTGCTGCAAGCTTCTTGATCCGCCACTATGACCTCAACAAGGAACATGTGTCAGCTCACAAACTACAGGAAATTAGTTTCATGAGAAAACAGAAAACAAAAACACCAGGTTTCGGCAGATGCGTAAGTCACAACTAAAACGCAGCTCCCTCGTGTCTCTCAGCAGGAGCCGAGCTGAGATAAAAGCCATAGCACAGTCCGGCATTGCTGAAGCTCACGCTTTTGAACGCGAGGAGACTCAGGAGAGCGTATTCGATAACCATGTCTATGTGGTAAATTGCTGGGGGGCATACAGCTTCGCCCGTTAGTAACGTACTGGGAAAAAAGAATAATACGATTTTAGTCTGCAAAATGCAATGGAGCTCCTAGTATTCTGCTGGCCTCTTTATATCATTGTTCCGGCGATGAAATTTTGAAACAGAATGTAGCGGAGTCTAGACAATGAAGAGTTCTGTTTGTCCAAGTGGCTCTTTCTTCCCCATGCTTCTGTCCCCTAGGTAGACCGGAATGCTTCTTGGAACGAATGAACCATAGCGTATATCAAGATCACATGTTAGTACCTCTCGTAGTCTTGCTTGCAAGCCCATTGGTTTCCGCGTTAAGTATGGCGACGTCGCTATCTAGTCTTATGTACCGTTGCTGCCTGGTTCGGTAATAATAACAGTAAAGATTAGCAATAGGAAGTGTAACGTGCTAATTGTTCATAATTAAGTGGTTATGGATACAGGTCTGGAAATGGTAAAACACCCTGTTTTGTGAAGAGTTCTGGATCGTAAGCAAACATAACCTGCATCTGAGTTTGGGTATAACAACACCTGTTAGTGTGCTCCATGAGAGTTATTCTGAGTTATTCTCTGGCTTCGCCACTTTTTCTTTTGTTTTTATACCTTTTCTTGATCCCATATATATCATTCGCGACGGTGTTGTGGGTGAAATATGCCTTCAAGATTTCCTTCTGGATCATCATTCTAAATCCATAGCCCTACGACATTTAGAATACACTTTGCTCTTGTGTGGATAATTCGGAGTATCCCTTCACGTATTGACCCATCTGCGTTGAAATAACTATCTTTGACAGAGACTGAGATCTCGAAAGTATGCCATCGCAACAGAATAGGGGCCCAGAGCTCCTCGGCGTGCAGGCGGCATTCCTTGCGGCAGCCTGGATTGCCACATGTCTCTTATACGTAAAAACATCCCTCACGAAGAGTCATACAGTCGACGATGGCGTTATGTATCTTTCAACCGTGAGCCTTTCTTTCCAGATCGTCACCGAACGACCGGTCTGACAACAGCCAAGGCCCTGTACTCCGTTTACGCAGCCGTCGCCGTCCACGGTATTATCAACGGCGGCATAGGCCGACATACCTCAGATCTGGACCCAGGCAGTATTGTTATAGCACTCAAGGTCTGGTACACGTGCGAGATTCTTTACGCCTTCATATCCGCCCTCATCCGGACCTCGATCTGTCTCTTTCTCCTCCGCATCTTCAACCGCGGGACAAACAAGCTGGCCAAGAAGATGCTGCAAGCCAACATCGTCTTGGTCTGGGTCTCGTCTTTGATTTACCTCTTCATAGTCGTCTTCCAGTGCAACCCGCCCAACTATTACTGGGCCAAGTTCGAAGGACTTCAGGGCAGCTGTCGCCCTGCCCATCTCGTGCCGAACGCAACAGTCGCCCACAGTGTTATTGCCGCCTTGAGCGACTGGGTGATTGGCATATTACCCATGTCGATTCTTTGGCAGCTTCAGATGAAGCTAGAGAAGAAGATTCGGTTGTTATGCTTTTTCGGAATCGGTATGATGTAAGCCAGAATCCCTATCCGCTTTTGAAACACTTCCTTTCCACTAACGCCTGACACACTGGAAGTGCCGGGATCATCATGATCATCAGGATACCTTACATAAAGGTGCTCGAGATATCGGCCGACTTTCTGTACCAGACAGTGTACGTGTGTTGAGCTTGTGGCTATTGATAGAATGCTGACGAAACATCTCTCAAAGCGACGTTGCTTTGTGGTCTCTTTTGGAGCCGTCAATTGGTATCGTTGCAGGTTGCATCGCTACGCTCCGGCCCCTCATAGCCACTTGCGCGACAAGCACAAGATCGAGAAAGAGATCAACCTCATCTTGGAGGCGTTCCATCCCGGCGCCACACACAATCCTCGTCACCAAAGAGGTGGAGGTCACTGTCGAAACGGGTGATGAACGACCGCTCAAGCCGGGGAGGCCATTACCAGACTGGTAGCACCAGGAAAATATCTTCTAAATGCGGAGGCGCAAGACGAGAAAATTGATTCTCCTGGAGATGCTAAGCTGCACGAGAACAATGTTTCAGCTTGTTCGCATGATGGCCTATTATCACAATGATTGTGTTGTCACCAGCTCAATGATGCGTGCAGCGACTGCTTCACAAACAACAAGGTAGTGTCGATGACTTACAAGTCGCCTTCGTGGAATTCGCGAAAGTCACAAGTACGAATAGGAGGCCGTTCCTGACGCATCATTTTTGTCCGTCGTGTTTGCGACTGTAGCCGAAAGTCGCAATCCCATACTTGAGCGTGATTGGTTCCTCTTTTCCCCTAGTCTTTTCATTCTCTTCTTTCCTCTATTATTAACGAACGTGATAGGACCAAAAGTCTGAAAATTGGAGGTTGTAGTTCATCACGTCACGACGTTTTTTGTCTCAAGGATCCAGATAAGCGTTTATGTTTTAATTCACTAAGCGATCAAGCGATCCTGATCATCATTAATTAAAATGGAACCGACTCGGAATCATATTATGCCGTCCACGAATGCTTGCCTATGCTACAGAGTTACCTGATGTCTTGTGTAGTACCATGCTCTTCTCAGCTTACTCGTAGTCAAGCCTTTGCCTTCGACCCTCTCCTTCTATTGCCGGTGATGATACCTAGGATGTTTCGCACGTGCATCTGGGCGCGGGAGTGATGCTCGAAACAGTCGATGTAATGAGAGTTGTCGCGCCGGGAAATTCACTAAAGCCACCGGGGGGAACCTCCAAGGAACTTCCGGTAGGGACACTACTTACGGTACTACTGGTGTTATCTATCAACCTGGTGGGACTTGCGGCCGTCTCCGAAGGGATTAGAGAGATATCGGTCGTGATAGATGTTGGCCGGATGGTCTCAGTGTCTAAGCCTAGCCACGTCGAAGGAAGTCCAATGCCATCGGTTTCGGTGCCAGTATAGGAATAAGGGGTGTTGATTGGATTTCCGTGGATGGAGTGGGAGATACGGGACCCTCCTCGTTTACCGAAGTGGGAAGATTGGCCACGGTCGTGGGTGAAGTGCCGTTCCACGGAACGCTTGCAGTACCGGTAGCGTCCGACGGTAAGGAGGCAACTGTCGTGATGCTCGAGTCGAGACATGTTCTTGTCATTGCCAAAGGCAGTACTGCAGCTGAATTCGAGGCATCTGGTGGCAGAAGCCGGATCATCTGGCAGCTGGGGCCGTCGTCGTTGCCGCACAAGAAAGTTATCTTGGCGTAGGTGGCGTCAAGGTCCCCCGGCAAGGAAATGGCTTGCAACAGCTTGGAAGGGCAAGTGGTAGACGAGTTTGTAATGTTCACCTGTTGGGATAGAAGGACTTCGCTCTGGGAGCCTAGAAAGTAGATGTGTGCCTCAGGACATGCGGCTGCATCGTCAGGAGTCTCGAAGTATTCCATGCCGCCGAGTCTCATCGCAGGACCCCTCCAACACTCCTCCTCGAAGCCCTCTGCCAAAGCATGTGTAACTGTAAAGGTTGCAAAAGTACTGATCGAAGCGAAAGGAAGCCACTTCATTGCCAGCAAAAAAACCAACTATGAGCGCAGTCTGTGTCCATATATACCCATCTACAAATAACAATTGCGGGTTTGCCGCCGCCCTAGCTGGCATCAGCTTACCTCTGACCATTGTCGTTCACAAATGATCTGAGATTTAATATGACGTATCACCGAAGGTTATGTCATGAGTGATGACAGACTGATGGTCGCCTTACAGCAGTCACGGTTCAGCACAGCAGTCTGGGTGAAGAACAACGGCCTGGATCAGGAGACAGGCGTGACACAGTAGAGATAGAACGAATGTAGATCTGACTAAAAGGCTGACGATGCGTAAAAAGGCCCGTAGTATTTGAAGCTATCGACCCCCAGAACGGCGTTATGTATCGAGAGATTATTGGCCTTTTACCCCCCTTGGTAGCTACTACTCTGGGAATGAAACTGTCATTCTCTCTTCTTCTGGGCTCATGTTTAGGACGTACAGATGACGATTTATGTAGACTAGAATCTATTGCCTTGAACAGAATACAATGCTGGGTACTAGATCTCTCTGCTAGCCTGACGTTGTACTATCAAGCTCAGCGCGATGTGATTGACTGTAAAAAAAAGTCGATTATATATCCCGGCCTAGTCCCCAGATACACCAATGTATACGTGAGATGGCGCTATACGAAACTGGTGCTCTTTGGCTTGCCAGTGAAGAAAGGGCATGATCTGTTTACGAGATCGGAGCGAAAGATACAAGAGTCAAAGCCTTCAGGCATCAGCGAGTGCTTTGGGTAGCCGTCATGTACCCATCAGCTGAGGTCAGCGCCTTTCACTGTCCCAGTACACCTCTGCCGAATACCCCAAACCGATGGCAGCGAAGTCGTGGTGGATCGTTGAGCTAGTGTTGGATTGCCCCTCCGGTCCAGCCATTATGTTCCGACCTTTTGTCGAGAAAGGTGGTATTTCTCTCCGCAGAGCAGCCCAAATGTAAGGCTTCGACTTGGTCGTCGTGATGAAACCCGCGGAGTCGGAGGTTTCACATAGCACAGTTGCCACAGCGATCATGGCCTCGATAATAGAACAGCTCAACCCTACCATGATCATGACACCGCTGCTCCCCAGACAACTCCCCCCACTTGTGGGGATGCCTTTGAGCGCCGCGAGGTAAGAATAAACTGCAAGAGCGTTAAGAATGGCAGGAATGGAACAAAAAACCATCGTCGCAGCCCCACCATCCAATCGCTCTGCAAAGAAGCAACCGCATCACGATCAGCCGCAGGCTGCAAGCAAGAGGGTTGCTACGCTATCACTTTGTCAATGTACCACGTCGAAGGATTGCGTGACCCGTAGCGAAATCTCGTTCGCGCCATCCACTATGGAGAGGCCCGAACTTCTATCCAACCCATTCAAATTCAGGCATTCTTCGTGTTCTTTGAGCGCGATGCAGGCGCGATGAAGGCCGATTCGTATGGTGCTGGTGGGCTGTGTCCCCTGGATCTAGAAATGCGGTTGATTCAGCTGGCAGCGTAGCAAAAGCTCGGTCTTCAGAAGCAAGTGTGTGAAGCATTGAAGAGAATCATCGTGAAGTCGAAAGAGAGAGGACCACGAGACCTGGGCATTCAACCTACCTTTGCAAAAGCAATGCTGCCCTAGTTGTAGGGCATGGTTAAAAGTGCCCCGTTCAGCAACAAGTGTATGAGGCTGATCTTGGCCATGATAACCACGCACTAAAGACCGTGTCTTGATGGTAATGGAGATCGTATAGGATGGAAGCAATCAGGATGAAATGAGCTGCTTTACTTGCTAGCTGCAAGTTCGACCGGGTGGACTCGAAGCTTGGAAGCAGATAGAGGACCCGAAAACAGATAACTGCTGGCCATATTTATTGATTATATCTGACTTAACTATGACACGTCCTGGTGGCATTGTGGGTGTTATTCTCATAACGCTGTCTAGGCGTTGGAGCAGACTAATACTAATCCGGCTGGCGGGTCCTGTCCAAGTTTCACAAAACGTACGCAGAGAACCATCAGCGCTATCATCGACCAGAGACTAGATTGAGACAGTTTGAATAGCTTCAGCTCACCTCTTTCGGTATGACCATCTACCCGGCAGAAGCTAATGTAAGTAGGTCTAAGTGATTGCTATCATTTCAGTGGTTATCAGCTGTCATTACAAGCGTTTTTTTCTTGCCATAACTTCTCGATTTAGTTCTTAGCAACATGGGACGTTAGCTTCGCTTTCAATGCCCGGGCTTTTGCCCTGTTCATTCACATGCTGTTTTGATCAAGTAACTCAGATTTCGAGACTATGCACTGGAAGTATTCATAACCGTTAACATCCACAAGCCTGCTATTTGCAGATTCGATTGTTATTTACAATAAGATAAGTTAGATAAGTGATGGACCACTGGCTTCCCATGCAAATGCTTTCTCATCCGTACGATCGACCGAAGCGAGTATAACGCGGATATCAAGACCAAAGGGTAGTTAAAGCGTGACTACCAACGGGCCAAGACTGGTCATATCACGCCATCGCCGATTCCATGCTACCATTCTAGTTATGTGTGTTATTGCCCGTGTCTTTGTTATTGCACTTATGGTGGCTCTTGTGAGCTTCCGCTGATTGTTTGCATAGCTCTTGTCACTGGCTTTACTCTAATCAAAGTCGTTTTTCTTTCTCGATTCGATACTTGGTCAGAGTCAGCACGGCAACCCTCAAGTGAATAATTGCCTTTGAGATAATAACCAAGTCGGCCCCTATTCCCACCGAGGATGATCTTGGGCTTGATAGTCCATCGCATTCTCATCGATATCTCACATACTCACCACGCCTCCAGCACTACCCACTATCATATGCTAGCATGGCGACCGGGCCTGTTGCCACAAGCGATTTGTTTTCCTTGCGAGACAGTCTTCGAAACGTTCCAGAACATTCACCGGGCACGCAACACGCGTCCGGCGACTCTGAGTTGACCGCTGACATCAACAACCAAGAATGGCACCAGCTTCAAGAATACCCACGAATGGCCATGCTTGAGCAGTCAGAACAGAGTCAATCCCTCTTCTCGAGCGATTGCAACCATACGGAAGACCAAGTCCGATCGGTCCTCATCCATACCGATCGACACCGATCCAAAGAGAGAGATGACGGCCGTTTGGAAATGGATTTTTTCGGTTGGCTTGACTTTGGCACCTTTCAGTCGATGACCGGCTGCGCACTCTGAACGCTGGAAAGCGAGGTTGCTTGGCGCAGTCCGGCATCACGTCGTGTAGAGCTCAGTATGTCGGTAATTTCAAACAGCCTCATTTCATTACCATGTGAAGCGCTATACAACATAACGATCTTGCCTTTCTGAAGTTCTGCTGGGGAGTTGCTGAGAGAATACAAAGAAGCGGAGCGTTATATCATGTCTATGATAATGAATGACTGGTTGGATGAATAGCCGAAAGTCACGGATATTATCCAATCGTCACCCGGCCGGCGTCATTTGTTTACGGGCATCGCTTCTGAAGACACGACTAGAAATGATAATGGTTGGAGGAGTTTTTCTGTCGCCAGTTGCTCAAAGCTCTTTGCGCAGCGCGCCTATTGCAGCTAACTCACTTTCATCTCCGATAGCGCCGGTATCCATGACCTGAGGAAGCGACAAGGGTCCGGCACCAGCTCCAAAGCACCAACAAACCCGTTCATTACCCATGCATTCAACACTAGCGTATGGGGGCCAGTTCATGCGATGCTACCCTACAGCTGCTGCTTTTTGCCAGCGTCACATTCCCTCAATAACACAAGCAAGACCAGCTCCATCGGGTAGCAGGCGCGTCATTCATCCTTTGGCCCAGGCCGAAGTCACAGCACCGCCAAATAATGGACAGAATTGACAGACTGGCACGGACGATTCTTTCCCCACCATACGATTGTGGAAGTGTGCTTTCAGAGTTACTAATTTGACCTCGTATGGGAAGCAGCTGTCGGAAATGGGCAGTATCAAGCCGGACGAGCTTCGGCGCATGAGCGCGTCCGGCCGGTAGTGGTGCGTGTGGTCCTCGGTTCGACCGTCTCTTCGTTGTCCCCGCAGCTCCGGGGGCAGAAGATCATTGCAGGGAGCTGGGCTTGGAGTCGGGGCCCGCCTCAGACAAATGGTATCTGTTTGGCTCGCGTCGCAACCGCCTCGATTTCTCTACACTGATCAGTCTTTTGCCGGCGTCACTTAGCCATGCGCGGTGGTCCATCATCGTGATCAAGGTTTCGACTAGACGGGCGTACAAACGACCTTTTGCCTTATTTCTATTACGGCCGAGGACGAAGCATTCACATAACATAACCGCGTCCCCACCGCCAATTTTGAATTTGGACCCTGCAATCGCGCACCCCAAACCCCGAAGCGGCCTCCCAGACGGCGCCCTCGCTTGGTGAAGGTGTGCCGATAATTCACGTTGCGGTGGCTCAGAGCGGTAACGCAGATCTCCAATCCCCCCTGGGATGCCTGCTTGTGTTGGTTCGGAAAAAAAGCATCTCTGCGATGTGCGTCGTGCAGACAGCCGAGGTCAGGTGAGAGGCAAGCCAACGACGAGGACTGATGCAAGAACAACTGTGAGAGTCTAGCACTGGAAAGGGGTCTGTCTGCCGAAACTCGATAAACTCGTTCGCGAATACCATCGGTACCACGATCGAGCTCAAGACACCTCATGGCGGCGGAGGCCCACGGCACGTCTTGCCATCAACGCTCACGTTGTCGCCCATGTTCACCGACAGCGGCACGACTCGCCCACCATCTTCTCTCTCGGCCCCCTGTCCGCCAATTCCCGACGCAGTGGTTCGTGATAGCATCATCCTTACCCCAACACATAACCAACGAATATGGTGTTGCCATCCAACTACGCACTACGTCCCAATGTGAAAGTGTTTGGTGAGAATACAGAGCAGATCAGGAAACAATTGGCGTTCCAGGGAAACCCGAGCTCACAAGTGGCGCAGTTGCGAGTGTTTGTTGCGGACGTGTTTGTTTGTTTGTTTGTTTTATATTTACCGCCATGGCGGCAAGGGCGCAACCGCCCTTGCGGCAGACCTCCCGAAGGGTATGTGGCGTGGAGGGTCGTAGGCTCTAGCTATATACTCTACAGTACACGCCGTATCCTGACGTCCTCCAAATCTTGCTCGTGAGCTGCTATGTGTTCTATTCGTCCCTAGTTCCCACTGGTGCCCTAGGTCCGTTATAACCATCTGGTTTCCTAATAGAATTAGTTTGTCGTTTGGAGAATAGGTTATGGCCTATCTCCTAGTACCGCGGGCAGATCTTCTGGTAGAAGTCTGTCACGCAGAGGAAGGCCTGAAAGCCTTCAGAGTCAGTGATGAGCCCCTTGAAGTAGCGGTCGAGGGACCCTATAGGTCCCACGGGCTCCTGGCGGCTGTAGGGGTAGAGGATGGGCCACTGTTGCCTCCTCAGTAGGGTCTTTCGGCAGTAGACTAGATGGTCTGCCTCCTTAACCTCTCCACAGGAACAGGTTAGCAGTGCTTCTGTATGGTTGAAGCGTTGGTGATACTGTTCAAAGTCCCCGTGGCCTGACCGCGCCGCGAGGAGGTGATGAAGGGCAGCCCTAGGGAGGCCAAGTTCAGGAGGGCAAGCAAGGGTGGCCTTGAGCCCTAGTTGGGTATAGCGGGGGGTTGCCTCTTGTCTCCACCATTTCCTATGTTGGTGCTGTTTGCGCACTTGGGCAAGCCGTTTGATCCCTGATAGCGTAGCTAGTAGGCCTCTGGGGACTGGAAGTGTTGTACCCTCCTTAGCTAGGCTGTCTGCCTCTTCGTTCCCTTTTATCCCTTGGTGCCCTGGGGACCAGTGGGTTTGTATATTATATATCCTGGCTGCTGCCTGGATTTCTAGGAAGGCAGCTTGTGAGGAGTCTGGGACGTCGCTGCGTATCCCCTGGATAACACTAGTGTTATCAATACAGATGTGTATAGGCTGGCCTTGGGAGGTAAGGAGAGCTCGTTGGAGCCCTGCCCTCGCCCCCTCCGCCTCGCCATCGAACACTTCCGCAAGACTGAGGCGGCCGCAGCCTTGGGCTATGCGTTTATTGTCACGGTAGATAACAAAGCCGAATCCCGTGGCCCTATTAGGGGCTTTAGAGCCGTCTGAGTAGATGATCGTGTGATTACCTGGCACGGTCTTGAGCCAGGCTTGGAACGCTTTTGCTGCCTTCTCCTTGCCTTGTCCAGCTGTAGG